TCTAGACTCAACTGGCTGGGCTAGACAGGGAAGCGGGGCCAATCGGGACTCTAGGTCGTTTTTACGTGTTTTACGTGTCCACTGTAATCGATCGATATAAACGCTGCTTATCAAAACCTGCAGTCCACACGATACAACAATTAGGTACCATTCAAGTTTACCTAAAAATATTAGTAGTATAATTGATTTTTGTATTGGTTATTTAAATGTTTATATTAATGTTTAGGATTACATTTGATCAGTCTCTTATACAAACAACCGATACAAAAACAAATTGCACAAGTTAGTGTTTATCGGATCTTAGTAGCTATATGGATAACGCAATGGCATTCGAAGTGAATAATATTGATTCTCAGTCCCATAGTGAACATCAACTCTAAGATGTAGGTACGTTCAGCTGACAAGTCTCAAGTAGAACAAAATGAGCGTTCTGGATTCCACAGTTAGCCAACATCCATCTTTGGTTATAGTTAATAGTTTGAGCTTTTAAAATCTTAAAACAAAACAATACATTATTAATATCACTGATTGAAATCATGAGTCCATTGAAGCTGGACCACCATTTAAAACCTGAAATCATTGGACGGCCGTTTCATCCTAACACGGGATTCCTCAGCAATCCGCATCCACGATCCCGCATCTCGCGAGATTCGAACCTAGGACTCACCAGTCTCGCGCCAGGTGCTTAACCAATTAGACCACTGAGCCGGCATCCAATGGTGTTAATGTCTAACTTCAACCAATCCACGAAGTCGCGCCACCGTACACCATTGTCTTCAGTGAGTTGATATCTCACAACAGACCTAGTTTATTATTCATTAAGTTGATTCATTCCTAATGCTTTAGACTACAAATTTTTCTTGGAACAAAAAAACATTAAACAACAACAACAACGACACGAACATTCAAAACAAGTACAATTTCATGTCTAACAAATAATTTAATTTAATCCATCTTTCATAATCAGATATGTTTTAAATAAGATTAACGAGAGAGGGAGGGAGAGAGAGAGTAAGAGAAAAAGAGAGAAAGAGTAGGAACAGAGTATACCCGATACTTTTTATGAGTAATTTTTGTGTTAACTCCGTACTTGTTGAGAGCTTACCGCCGGAGACGGATATCCGTGGGATAAGGCGAGGTGTGCACTTTTAGCGTCGACCTGTTCTAACCCCACCCTTCCGTTTGGGGAGGCAGCATCGCTGTCATACTGGTTGTCTGAAGGAAACACCTTACTGCTGTCACGCCTCTGTACAGTCAGCAGTACGAATTCGCCTTCGGACCTTGGGTTTGTTGCTTTTAGTCTTACCGCTCTTCAACAGACCTGTCTGACATGGTAGGACCTTGAGGAATGGTTGTTCCAACCAGTATGGCTCGGTTGCTTCATCACGATAGGTGAGCCCGACCATCACGTCAACGTAGCAACAACGGTCGGGAAGACTAGAAGTTATAATCGAATGAATAAAATCTAAGTGTTTTTTACGACCCACCATACATAATTCTTTAACAAGGTAAACTCTTAGGAATCAAATTTAACCTTTAGTAGATCAGTCAGTTATTTTTGATGAAAATAATTCAAGTAGAAAGTTTGTACAAGATTTGGAGATTATTTTTTTGTTTATCGTTAACTAACATTAACTTCAATACTTAATACTGTGAAACTATTCGATCAAATTTAGACAAAAGTTCTTGTAAAGTACAAATTACAGTTTAGAAAAAAATGTAAACAATCTAAGAGGATGATTGAACAAACAAATATATCATTCGCTGAATCAATCAAATGAGCATGGGATATAATAATTAAATAGCAATATATAAATAATGTCTCAATGAATAAAAAATCAAATAGCCCACTTTTCTAAACATCATTTTGTATTAATTCTGTAAAGAAGTCATTTACATTGAATTCCGAAATGTTAGAAGTACTGCCCTCTATTCATTTCAATATTACTATGGACAATGCACCTAGTGATAAATTTATTTGAAATTATCAAGTTAAACTTAGATGAAAATACTGCAAAACAGGACGAAACGTATTATATACATACATACTGAAATGTATTATTGTAAAGCACCAGACGTGAAGTGTTTTTAGACAAATTGGTTATGTTTTTCTTAAGAAAAAGGGAAAGGCACAATAATGAATAATAAAATTGTATTGTAGCTAGTAGTAGAATCTAGGTTGCAAGTTTCGCCCCATTTGAGGCTCGTCAGCTGAATGCACATACCTTATCTGGGTGTTGATGTTTAAACTGGATTTCAAACGTAGTTTGTTCTTTAACTTTGAATATATATATATATATATAAAGCAAGTAATTAAGCAAGTAAATGTTTCAAAGGAAAAACTTACCTTCTAGTTAATTTATCATAAAATGTCTTTGGTATAATCGTAACTTTCATTGGAGTTTTTGATTCCTCCATAAGTTGTAATAAATCTTTATCCTTTAAACCAACAACATTTTGTCCATTAATTTCAATAATTTGATGATTAGTTAATAAACCATTACGTGCAGCACTTGAGTCTTTAACAATTGCTTTAATTAAACCATTACGAACATGTACACCAATTGCACCTAAACTATCTTTATGCACAGTAATAACACGTTCGAATGGACTAGGGTAAGCAAAAGATTAATGCATAGAAAGAATTAGAATATTTATAAGTGTGAACAGTAACAGTTAGTAAGTTATTCATACAAAATATAGAGCCAGGCATGTATTTGCATCGGTTTATATCAGTAATATCGAGATGGTAAAGTAATATAAGTATAATAGCAATATTAAGGGTAGTGGAAAACATCAAGCGTAGAATGCATGATGAGAGAAGAAAAAAGGAATTTTTCAAATAATGAGAGTATAAAATGAGTTCCATAGTTGGAACCTAAGGGAAGACAAAGAATGAATATATCCGTGCCAGTGTGATCAATCCTGCGCTATATTACCCAACGTTTCCAACCACTGGTGATGATAATTGCTCGAACCTCTACTGCATAGTCTGAACCTACTTACATGGCTCGAATCAATAGCAAACGATTTCATAGACTGATTCCACATTTTGATTAGACCGTTTCTAGTTTCCTTTCAACCTAAACCTTCATCAGCACTATGTTTCTAAATAACTAGTGGTTGAGCAAACACAAAACACTTTCTAACCATCTTAATTAATGAAAATTCATTTCCTCTCCCAACTATTTTCCATCCTCATTTAGCGTTCAAAATCTGTGAAGAAATTTTGTCAAATGCCAATTCATTGGAACTGATGGAACTTACAAGTTCTGTGAAGTGGTAGACAGGCTTAACTAGAGGACAGGCATATAACAGTTCTTTCTTTTCAGAAATCCTTCCGTAGGAATATCGTGTCAATAATTTCAATAAAATATGAATCTTTATTTTTTGGGTACATATTAGATAATTGTTTTACGGTCACTATCCAAACCGAATAAAGAGATACGATTTCCTCAAACACGAAATACAAACAGGAGCAACGAATAAAAACAAAAGTGATATCAACACAGGGAAACAGTTCGATAAACAAGTTAGATATTAACACTATTGTATGTCGGCTCAGTGGTCTAGGGGTTAAGCATTCGCACGTGAGACTGAAGATCCTGAATTCGATTCCCATATACAGGATTGTGAACTAACACTTCTGGGGTTTGCCATATTGGGACGAAACGGCCGTTCAGTGGTGGTCGAACTTAGATAGACTCGTGATTTCAGGTATGAAAATACTACAATCTCTACAAGTAGTATATACTAATAAATTAAATAAATACAACTCTAATTCATTATTTATAGATTTGCAACTTGGTAAGTAATATTTTACACAACTTAAACGATGTTGCATTTACTTTGATTGTTCAAACTTTGAATACAAATAAGTACACCAGATAATTAATAAATTTTAAATAATTATGTAATTGCTTCCCACTAGAACTCCAGAAGTATCTCTTGAAGTCAGTCACTAGTGAGCAGATGATTATTATCAGAAGGGGTTTGTGGAGATTTTTAGAAGTTAGACATTAACACCGTTGGATGCCGGCTCAGTGGTCTAATGGTTAAGTGCTCGCGCGCGAAGCCAGCAGGTCCTGGGTTCGAGCCCCGCGTGGTGCGGGATCGTGGATGCGCACTGCTGAGGAGTCCCATACTATGACGAAACGGCCGTCCAGTGCTTCCAGGTTTTCAATGGTGGTCTAGCTTCAACTGACTCATGATTTCAATCTGTGAAAATTTCTAAAAAAATCTAAACAAACCCCTTCTGATGATTATGTAATAACTAATCACCGGTCTATATGTTAGTTGATTTTCATCTATTTATTTGATCGGCGTAAAAATCAATGCTTAACAATTCCACTGATTCATTTTCAATTCCTAGTATACATTATTACTACTACGATTAGTATAGGAGCTTTTGGAGATTATTTAATATTATTAAGATCACAAACCAACCAAAGTTGAACCTACATTAAAAACCTGAAAGCATTAGATGGCTGCTTTGTTCTAGTACAGGGCTTCTCAGTAGCTGACATCACTGAGGTTCCAATACCGAAACTTAGATCTCGTGTAAAAACCCTAATATCCAGATCCTTGAGTTGGTATTCAATGGTGTATGTTCAACTTCATTATCACATTATCATATTCCTTGAATCCTCAATGGGAAGAGTATTATGTTTGATAAAAAATTGTCATATTTTGACATTTTAGTTGTCTCTTGAAATTATAAATTGTTTAACACCAGAAGTTATATATTGACATATATCATGTATAATAAGATAGATTTTGAGATTATTTTCATGTTTTATAGCAATTAATTGTAAACAAACTTAAATTCTATAGAAATAGAAAAATCGATTTAATACATTATTCGATTATGGATAGTTGCTAACAGTAGAATCCAGGATGCGCGTTTAGTCCTATTTGGGACTCGTCAGCTGGATGTACCCGGATTTCAGAGTTGATTTTCACTCCGGGACTCGAACCCAGTACCGTTCACTTCAAACGCCATCGCGTTATCCACTTAGCTACTGCTTGTAAATTAAGACAATACCGAAGCAATACGCACAGTATGCACATGTGCCAATAAGCAATTGATCAATTGCAGTCCTAAACATCAGTGGGAAGATTCAAGTAAAAACAATACCAAGTGAATTGTTAATCGATTAGTTTAAGAACCAAAGTTAACAGGTAGAATAATACAAATGAAAATTTGGCATATTTTTTTGTGCTACAATGTAATTTGTCAAGATTTATGTAATTACACAATTAAGTAGAATTAACTATAAATATTGAAGAGAAAAAATGGAATAAGAAGTGAAAATTAATACAAAATAAATAGTTGAGACTTAGAAAATGGTGTGGTATTTTCATATTTAAAAACAAAAGTAGAACATAGAAAACATGATTATATAGTAACTAAATGACAAGTGAAATTTACAAATACTCATTGCATCTGCATCACTAAATATTTTACCATTGGTCGGTTCATCTATATTAATAATAAATCAGCTCATTCACCAAGTTCCTGAGTATGGTCTATAACTACACTTTAACTGTGGTAAGGGCAGATAGTAATACATTATTGCCCAAAAATGAAGAAGGTGGAGTGTGACTGATTAGAAATTGGATATAAACAACAATTGAGCAATAAATAAAGTGAATATTACAACTCATCAACAGAAAGAGAACAGAAATTATGAAAACAAAATCAAGAAAATAAAGTTGTTTAATCCATTCATTCATAACTCACTCGAATATTGACTATTATGATAATTAAGATTAAAAGAGTGTATAAATTTCATATGAATACAGAAGTCAAGTTTACGCAGCAAAGCACTACCAGATGTATATATTTTATATTTACATATTAGTGTAGAGTTGTCAAGGGAAATTCGTTCGAAACAATTATTTCTTTGCTCTGTTTCACTTTTTGATCTACATTAGCCCTTGATGAATTAAAAGTTGTGTTATTCGACAAAATAATCCATAACAATCTTCAGAATGATGTGTATTTCAATAATATTTTAACTTGTAATCAAATGGGATTTTTAAAAACATTTTGTAATTATACTATATTGAGAAGTAAATTGTATCTACCATAAAACTGATTCATATTGGGCAAAACAAGAGTAAATGTGTGAACACAACGACATGTCATATCTACCAATTAATGCAATAAACAGAAAACAAATATATATTGATATTATGCATACATACTACTTACCGATCACGTAATACAAGTCTTATGTTGTTAGGAGTTGAATTTTTCAATATTTCCATTGATCTTGTCCCTGAACAACCTGTAACTAGAATATCATTAATTTCCAGGACTTGATCTCCGAAACGCACACCGCCAAGTGCAGCTGGTGAAAATCCTTCCACAAATGAAATAAATATACCCTATCGAAATGAAAAAAGAACTGAAAGCATAAAAGCCTGGTATATATATTTTTTACACATCATAAAACCAAGCATACGGTTAATCACAACTTAGACATTTTAGTCACAGTTCAAACGCTTTACGTATATTAACTATAACCACAACAATAAGTGACAGATTTACATTAAAACTGAAGCTCGGGCATTTTTAGGTTTAGAAACTTGTTTCATATAATAAACATAACAGGGAAAACCTACCGTTTAAGAATTTCGGCAAAATGACTCTAATTCAGTTGAGACGCTTTCACAAGCCTTAGGTATGCTTTAAAACACCACATAACACAACCACTATGCCATATTATTATATTTATACATCTATATGATTACAAAACAATAAATTAATCAAATCATCGTGAATTTTGGAAGCGATAATCAGGATTTACTACATGTTTGTTGAACGTGAAGCTGAAGGGGAATTGTGCTGAACATTTAAAGTCTCATGCCTCCAAGCACCTTCAAATAAATCCACAGAACAATGTAGTTCACCTCACAAGGCAGTTTAATCTAAGATCATCTGGTCTGAACAGACAGTAAACTAAGTACCACTTAGTAGTTTGAAAATCTATTGCATTCAAACTAACGTGTTAGAAGCAAATAAAATTTAATTATCTCGAACAGTAAAAACACACCCACTCAAACCATAAATTCAAGGAGTCAACCTAATCCTTTTTTTCCTTGGGAAGCTTTAGGTGCACCAAGTCAATAGTCATCTCTGCTATGGGACATATTTGGTTTTAGTATGATACATCCATTAATGTACTTGCTCCCCTCATTATTAGCATTTCAGAATCTGAGTTTACTATATTTGATTACTTTTTTCCATATATTTGATCAGTTTACTCACTAGCCACTTCATTTTCGCAGCTAACTTAGTTCATACTGACTCATGCACTTGACTGTCTCTTACATAATACTTGATTTGATTACTAATAACAATACCATTATTTTATAAGTCACTTGTATCTTTATTTTCTCCTATTAACAGCCTCATAACCTTTTCCTCACTTGACATGTGGTCCAGTTTAAGTTATCACTATATACAAGATATTCCGGTACCTGGAATGGCTACGAAAGGTACATCCATCATGATTTTCAGCCAATAATCTGTGCACAAAATATATCTATGTAAGCCTGGTTACTCTAATCACTGTTGATTTGAGTTCAAAAATACATTGATCTACCTAATTCATTGTAACCGGAATTTTAAACCATGAAAAAGTATTTTCTGATTTTACGAAATATCGTATCAGACTAGTAATTCATTATGCTGCAGCTGCGTTACAGCATAGAAATTAGAAATAAAAGTAATTTCTTCTTAAAATACATACTAATCGTGCCACAGTTCAAATAAATTGAGTTAACCTGAATAATCTAATGAAGTAAATAGTCTTCGCTATATGAAATTTTAGTAAGGTATTTCTGAGAACGTATAGTCTATAACATTAAATCTCGTACTTGCGTAGATCATTTATAGAGACAAACTGCTTGTTTATGTGTTCTATGACATTTTAAAGATAATTTTGATCCGTTTATTCTGAGACATTTCGGTTACGGTTAATATGCAGAATATATTTACTTATTGACCACAGTTCACCAAAAGACTTCGATTTGCTAAGACAGATCAATTATCAAACGCCTTAGTAACAAATGACTCAATTATCTAGTTTTGTTTACATTGAGTGATTTTTAGATAATGTTTTCTATATACGTAAAAAGATGTATAAAGAAATCAAGTTCCTAGAGCGAGGCGAAATTTCAAAAAGTCTAAGGTCACTATAAAGAACTAATTTACGAACATTTTCTAGGAGCATCAACGTTTGAAACTGATTTTTTTATTAAGAGAAACAACGTCATGATCATACCTTGTGGCCGAATTTAATAGTACGCCCTAATTATTTTCCATAACCATGTAATGGTCAGTTCTCAAGAAATGATTTATATGTTAACTTTATATCCATCTTTGTTTATTTCCGTTCTTATGTAATTTGTTTTATCTTAACATTTACAGTCTATTTTGTACTAGAGGAGCTGTCGATATAACTGTGCACACCAGTTTCAGTTGAGATAAAATGAGGTAGTTTTAGTGAAGACCAAGCATATATTTTTCAATAATCCGAATCTTATTAAGGATCACGAAATATATGGGGATATTTCAAGTTTTAAGGTGTTACTTTTGTCAAATAGAAATAGACATAACATTTTTGCATTTTAATTACTCCTAATTATCAATGCTAATTAGTTCCAAACATATAACATTTAAGATAATGAAGATGCCACAGGTCATGTAGGGACATTTTTCTCAAAACTTACTTTCTGTATTTCTTTAAGCTGAATTCCGACTTTACCGAATTCATTTTTACAAAGAGTAACAAGTCTAACTCCTGGTTTTATATCTACGCAATCAAATGGTGCTGGAAGCGGTAGACAAAGCGCTCCGCTTGGTGTAAAAGGAGCAATTGACATTGAATTGACCCCACAGCCCATACCGGATTGAGGAAAAATTCCAGATATTGTAGATCCACAGGTAACAGGTCTACCACCAATGTTGTAAGAAGACATATTATTATCCATATTGCAATTTCCAGATAGAGCGGGGTTTATTTGTGACATTGGTCTTTGACAGTCAGGGTGCGCATTTGAAGGTCCATTGCTTTGACTGTCAATAATATGCTGTACTTTTAACTCTTCGAGAGAAGGGTATAAAGACATCTAAAAAATGGATAAAAATAGTAATTCATGAGCAGTTTTACTGCTACATGGTACACGGTAGTCAAGCCAATTATCAGGACTTTTGTATTAATTACATAATGCTGTATTGTATTTAAAATGTTACTTATCAAGCAACTGGGAGCATGAAGCGTTTCTAACAAATGAGAGGGCTTAATTCATTTCTGTCTCAGTATAGTAAGCAAGGTTTGATGCATTATATGTTGGTGAGACTATAATTTACGGACGACCTTTGAGCGACGCTAGACTGACCTTGAGGATATCCACTTAACAACTAGGGTCAAATGAGGGTTATAAACCTGTGTGAGGAATCGGAATTATAATTTACAGTTGATGATTGAGGTTAGAAAGTGGTGAAGGCAATCTTTCCAATATACCTAAGCTATATTGCAGAGGTATAATGGGAAAGATATGTTTATTACCTGTGTTAATTACTTTAATATATAACGTATCAGATGACAAAATAATTATTTTAACATACACTTCAGACACAGAATCCTGAGAATACTCTGGAAAACCGTTTTTGGACTGTTTTAAAAATAACTACTTGCTACTCAACGCACATCACTAAGCTATGTCCAAACGAGTGACGAAATCACAAGTTCATATATTCGGGACATATAAACAAGAATATTTTGTGGTACATACACTCAATACATTTGTGATACGTTTGTGTGGACTCGTTGATTTATCCAAGCTCTTTTCTTCATTCTGCGTCATAGTCCCTAGTTTTTCGTATCATTCAATATGGGTAGTTTGACTACCACAGTGCACTAATGCAAGTAAATTTGATAGTTGAGCGGTCGTTTTTACTTCCTGCAAGAAGAACTAATGCGTTTATTAAATGATATTGAGGCCGCTAGAACTAACTGTTATCACGTTGACAGATGGAGCACTAGCTGGTGGTAATATGCATATTTAACAACTAAGACTGTAAAGGAGCAAAAACATAACGGTCACGACAAGCAAATAAGTAATTTACGTAAACAACATAAACGAATAAAGGTATAATAACAACAGATAAGTGGAGGTAGAAAGGGTTGTGATGGTCAGACATGTGTTAAGGACGATAATGACAGGAATAATGGTGGTAGGAATGATAAAATACCTCCGCTTGTTAATATTCTAGGGCTATTGTCGGTCATAAGTCGGCAGCTGTTCTTATATATGTTAAATCTATTGAATGATCTAATTCCTGAAAATAATCCAAGCGAATTTTACTATTTTTCTGGATGATTTACTGTTTTGGTATTTAACATGTAAAAATTTTCACTTAGCTTAGCTTTTAAATTTAATACCAACCACTTCAAAAATGTTCATAGCATAAGATATATTTGATAGCTTTATTATACTACACACTACAAATGAAAAGTGTGTTGTTTACAGACGAAGAATATTAGATTCGAACATTATTTGACACTTCTTAGTTACAATTTCCATTGCCATATGTTTGTAAATGTCACCAAGCTAACTATAGTAACTTCGTATAAAAAGTCTGTATTACAACTCACCATATTCTAAACTGTAGTTCCGCAAGTCTTCTCAACCCTTAAAAGGTTTTTTGGCCGTTTATCATTTGTAAATTGCTACATTGCTCACCAACTGGCATGTTAACCTGGCCTATACATGAGTTACATAATATCTCAACACCCTTTAATTTTTACAATCATTTGAGTCCTCCTTAACACTTTCACTAAATCCGTCATAGTCATTATTGCTATATGTATTTGTGCTTATGGATTGGGCTATCGTAGTTGCCTAAAAAGACGTTTAACATAGTTAAAATAATAAAGTCACCGAATTAAGGTACTACCATGTTACACTGATACAATGACTAAACTATCACGTAAATGTTAGTCAAACAAGCATTCCAAATAAACTCCGGAGCCCATTATTAAAATTAACATTTAGTGAACAAATATTTCTGGATCGCGATTGGTAATGTAGTAAAGCAGCTTGGATCCGTTAATGCTACAAACTTCTGATATTTCAGAATCACCTAAACGGCAAGTACCTAGTTCCCACTGGCCAATCCTCAATAAACACTGTAACTAGATATTCATAATGATCTCAGGATATCGCCATAAATCATTGTCATGACTTGACAATCACGTAATATGATGGACAACATTGATGAATTGGAAACATTCTGTGTTATAAAGCAACCAAATATGATCTTTTGAACTAGTCTGTGAGCGGTCTATCCAGACAGGATAGAATAACATTAATTTGTTGAGATTGGTAATTTCCTCGCATCCCTTATCATCTTTATTTGTTGTGATTTAGATTTGATTAGTTGAACAGATATTGGTTGAACAGCTAGGTGGTCATATTTGTTTAGGTAACAATTTACATTTAAATTTATAATGACTTTCAGAACCGTCATTTTACCCAATTACTCTTTTGGTTTCAACCGGGCAAAGGCGCGTGTCTAGCTCACCTAGACAGTTACTCTTCAGTCCAAACCTTAGTTTGGATCTAACACAAAGTATTCTTTCGGGTGTGTAAAGAGTTACTGTGACGACGGACCACCGGTGAGCTCGAGGAAGCTGTAAGAGGCTCAGAAGGAGCCGAAGACGTTCCATCCAATCACCTTTCGGAAGAATGTTCTAGAATTCCAACGTGTAGCTTCCCCATTGGGTAATGCTAATAACCCCCTGTACGCGGATTGGAAGACTGTAATGATGATTTCGTTCTCACTAAAACTATAAATACCTGACAATTTTGTACTATATTTGACACTGTTTGGAATAATATTCCTTTCGTTAGTCTTCTGTCTTCTTACTGCGACTTGGAAGGGGTTTGGTGTTCTAGTGCTCAGTTATTTGCGGTATATCGAAAAATCAGCTTTTCAAGATATAACATCTGGCGACGGGTTATTGTACCAATATGTCATTTACCTTTGAACAACTTGAAGCCTTATTAGAACGCCAAGAAAAACGTTTTGAACAGTTCCAGATGCGCATGATAGAGATGCTAACTCAGAAAATGAACCTGGATCAAAAAGAAGTTACAGATGATCCCTTCAAATCTCATGTTGACCAGATTGTTAATTCTATCCATGAATTTAATTTTGATGGTTCAGCTGACATTACTTTTGAAACTTGGTTCAAGAAATATGAAGATTTGTTCAAGGTCGACCTCAAAAAACTGGATGACGCCGCTAAGGTCAGAATACTCTTGCGAAAACTTGGAACTGTTGAACATGAACGTTACAGTAACTTTATCATTCCAAAGAATTCAAGAGATTTTTCTTTTGATGCAACGATTGAAATTTTGTCGCAAATCTTTGCTGAACAGTCATCCTTGTTTAATATTCGTTATCAATGTCTCAAGATGACAAAAGCAGGTGATGATGACTGGGTGAAACATGCATGTTTAGTAAACCGTGAATGTGAGCTCTTCAAACTATCAGCAATCACAGAAGACCAGCTTAAGTGTCTGGTATTTGTGTGCAGCCTCCAATCTCCCGAAGATGCCGATATTAGAACTAGAATTTTGAGTAAAATTGAACAATGCCTGAATATGGCACTACAGGAAGTAACCACAGAGTGCCAGAGATTTGTAAACCTAAAGCATGACACTTCGATGGTCGAAAATAATGGCCAGTTGCCATACGTTCGTGCTTTAAGCGGAAAGAACGATTCTTGCTCAAGAAAGGTATCGCACACAGATAATCAGCCTTCATCTCCATGTTGTTCTTGTGGTGGTTGGCATTATAAAAGGTTCTGCCCATATAAAGAACATTGTTGTAGCAAGTGTCATCGCAAGGGACATAAAGAAAACTGCTGCAGAAAAAGAACTTATAAACGACATTCTTTGAAACCCTACTCGAAGAAATACAGATTTAGTGCTCGAACTAACAAAATATTGGTATCACATAATCGAGCACGAATTTGCCGCCAAAGAAAGTATGTAAACTTGGATATAAATAAAAAGCGTGCCCGCCTGCAACTCGACACCGCTTTTGACATCACACTTATTAGTCGGAGAACTTGGAATCTTATCCGTAAACCACAGGTGCTCCCAACAACCCAGTTAGCTCACAGCGCATCTGGAGGAAAACTAAATATTGTTGGAGAGGTTTGTTGTATAGTTTCGAAAGGAAACGCGAAAACGAATGCAACTTTATATCTCACAGAGAATCCAGGATTAGGTTTGCTAGGTCTAGACTTGACAGAAACACTACAATTGACAAATCACCCCATTAACCACATATGCAGAGCAGTGAGAACCAACAAACCGGTGGAAAAGGATCTGAAGAGTGTTGTATTAGAAAGACACAGTCAAGTGTTTACAGAAGAGTTGGGGGAATGCAAAAAGGTAGAAGCACTATTGATTCTTAAACCAGGAGTCATCCCCGTCTTCAGACCAAAACGCCCAGTACCCTATGCAGCGCTACCTATTGTTGAACAAGAGTTAGAGCGTCTGCAAAGAAGTGGAATAATAGAGCCAGTAAACTTTTCTGATTGGGCTGCTCCAATAGTGATTGTTAAAAAGCCTAATAGAAGTATCCGGCTATGTGCAGATTATTCGACTGGATTAAATGAAGCGCTTGAAGCCCATCAATACCCATTGCCGGTACCAGAGGATTTATTTGCGAAACTGAATGGGGGTAAGTATTTTGCGAAATTAGACCTATCAGACGCTTATCTACAGATTCCGGTAGCGGATGATTGTAAGCATTACTTGACAATAAACACTCACAAGGGATTATTCCGATATAACCGACTTCCTTTTGGAGTAAAGACCGCCCCTTCAATCTTCCAACAAGTTATGGACACTATGTTACAAGACATCCCTGGTACTGCGGCTTATCTCGATGATATATTGATCATGGGTACAGACTATGCTGATTTAGAGAATAAGGTGGATACGTTTCTTAGACGCATAGCAGATTATGGATTCAGACTGCGTGCCGAAAAATGTGATGTTTACATGGAGCAAGTCCGGTATTTGGGATTCATAATTGATAAAAACGGGAGAAAACCTGATCCTGAAAATGTCGAAGCCATTAAGTCCATGCCTCCACCGACGGATGTGTCAACTTTACGTTCTTTCTTGGGAATGGTTAGTCATTATGGAGTTTTTCTGCCAGATCTGCATCGCCATCGTGCTCCTCTTAATTGCTTATTGAAAAAGGATACTAAATGGTTCTGGTCAACTGAATGCCAAGAAGCATTCCTAAAACTGAAGCAGCTTCTATTATCGAACCTTCTCCTTACACACTATGATCCCGATCTTCCAATTATAGTAGCAGCAGATGCGTCGAACTACGGAATCGGAGCAGTAATTTCACATGCCTACCCTGACGGGTCTGAGAAAGCAATCGCTCACGCTGCGAGATCACTGACTATGACTGAAAGAAACTACAGTCAAATAGAGAAAGAAGCCCTCGCGATTATAATTGCTGTCAAAAAGTTTCACAAGATGTTGTTTGGTAGGCAGTTTACCTTACTTACAGACCATAAACCGTTACTGACAGTCTTTGGATCTAAAAAAGGCATCCCGGTATATACAGCAAACCGGCTACAGCGATGGGCTACCACACTGCTGGGCTATGATTTCAAGATAAAGTATCAACCAACAACGGATTTCGGACAGGCAGATGCACTCAAGATTGATTAGTCTGCATGAAAAACAAGAAGAAGAGGTGCTTGTAGCTGCTATAGATGTCGAGGCCGAGGTTCACAAAATATTGTCAGACGCAGTTTCCGGACTCCCAGTCACATTCGAAGCCATCAAAGCGGCTAGCAAGAAGGATAATGTATTGAAGATTGTTCGCCATTGCGTACTCAACAAATGGCCGTCATCTAGACTACACGGAGAACTCTTACAATATTTTCATCGACGAGAGTCATTAACAGTTGCCGATTCATGTATAATGTTTGACCATCGTATCGTTATCCCCAGAAATCTTCGACACCAAGTCATTAAACAGTTCCACAGCGGGCATCCAGGGATAAGTAAAATGAAATCACTAGCTCGTAGCTATGCTTACTGGCCGTCAATGGACCATGATATAGAGCAAAAATGTCGCAGCTGTTGATCCTGTCTAGAGGCTGCAAAGAATCCGACGAAAGTTGAACCACAACCATGGCCGAAACCGGACGGGCCTTGGCAAAGAATACATGCTGATTTCGCCGGACCTATACAAGACAGAAATTACTTGGTTATTGTCGATGCATTCACAAAATGGCCAGAAGTATACGACATGCCGAAAATGACATCGGAGAGTACAGTAAGAAGATTGTCAGGATTATTTGCTAGTTTCGGGGTTCCAGAGATCTTAGTGACCGACAATGGTACTCAGTTTATGTCATCCGCCTTCAAACGCTTTTGCAGTGAAAATGGCATATTACATCTACAATCTCCTACGTACCATCCTCAGTCGAATGGCCAGGCAGAAAGATTCGTGGATACGATTAAAAGAGCTCTGGTCAAAGGGGGAGGTGAGGGTATCCCGGAACAAGTGATTAATAAGTTATTGATGTCTTACAGAGTTACCCCTAATCCGACAGTGCCAGAAGGAAAGTCTCCGGCCGAGTGTATGTTCGGAAGGAAAATCAGGACAGTTTTTAACAGTATGTTGTCGCCCAGAAAGACAAATAAACCCACGAATGAAAATCGTAAGGTCAATCGTAGCTTCCAGGTGGGTGAAAAGGTACTTGTCAGATCGTATCAAGGTAATAGGAAGTGGGAACGAGGTGTCATAGAACGTCGAATTGGAAATGTGCTGTACCTAGTCCGGAAAGATGTCGGAAAATGCGTAAGACATATAAATCAAATGCAAAGAAATGATAGTACAGTAGTCACAGAAAACCGGCTTCCATTTCAATTGCTCGTAGATTCATCCCAGAAGAACCATCATGAGCCCAAATATCGAAAAGACAAACGACGCAGAGAGAAAGCTGTTCAACCCTCGACAGTAATGGACCGCAAGAGGAGTGCGACACCCAAGCTTCAGGTGGATCCAAGAAAAAAATCTTACACAACGGACTTTAAAGGGGGAGGTGTGACGACGGACCACCGGTGAGCTCGAGGAAGCTGTAAGAGGCTCAGAAGGAGCCGAAGACGTTCCATCCAATCACCTTTCGGAAGAATGTTCTAGAATTCCAACGTGTAGCTTCCCAATTGGGTAATGCTAATAACCCCCTGTACGCGGATTGGAAGACTGTAATGATGATTTCGTCCTCACTAAAACTATAAATACCTGACAATTTTGTACTATATTTGACACTGTTTGGAATAATATTCCTTTCGTTAGTCTTCTGTCTTCTTACTGCGACTTGGAAGGGGTTTGGTGTTCTAGTGCTCAGTTATTTGCGGTATATCGAAAAATCAGCTTTTCAAGATATAACAGTTACAGTATTTACTATAAACGCGTCAACTTTGTTCATTTCTCGGGAACCGTTGTGGTTATTCTGAGGTCGTCTATTTTCACTACTTTCATAGCAGTCTCTCTTTTGTTGGTTTTGGCTCTTATCAAGAGAAAAAACAACCAAGAAGTGATTACCACTTAGATACACCCATCACGGCCGATCGGGGCTGATGTTTTTGTCCCTGTCCGCCCGACTTCGTAGAATTGTGCTCGGTCAGTATTAATGCACTTATATTTTATGCCAGAACACAATCCAATCCAAAATTTTGGACCTACAATTATGTGACTACCTAGTCCATCAGACCTCATATAGGCGTTACATCATCGCCTATTTTGTTTTGTCCTATCTCGACGGTCAGCGTTTGCACTCACTTCGGATGAGGATAGAGCAATAGATTTAATATGATACAACATGAGGTTATATAGAGTGACCACATCTGCATAGCCAAACTATGCTGATTCGGCTCAGTCCTCCAGCGTTCACCAGATTCGACTTCCTGCTTATCTACAGTGTTTAAAGCAGGTCTTCCCAGTTATATTGTAGCTGAGGATCACTGCCCCTCATCAGAATCATCGTAGCATTGATTCGATACTAAAAGAAGTGGGATTATCGTACCAGACGTTGCCATGAGATTATTAAGAATCCCTCGGGTGTTGATAAACGGGAAGGTATATTAGGTGGTCTGGAAACACAGACCAGGATTTCAAAATGTTTGGTTGGATTCCCAAAACGCCCAAAATAAAAGTCCACATGAAGCTTATTTGAGAGTTGGACAAACTGGAATTATAATAATGAAGAAAGATTTAGTATGAAAAGGTTTTAACAGGCCACCTTTAAATTCATAGCAATAACTTAATGCATCAACAGAGTTATTTGATGTTTATAGATATGAAAGCAATCAATATTATAGAAATGTTATTAACAACACGATGCTTGGTTGAAACCAGCGGGTCAGTTGGCGTTTACACTGTTGTGGTATTGAAATATTTGATTTCCAATTGCATATGCATTAGTGGGCTGACGAAAGGAATAGACGTGTAACCTCTGTCATGGTAGGAATGTTGAAATCCCTGTAGAGAACCAACTGTCTCGAACTGTTAAGTTAGAACTAGATAACGAACAATGACTCGGGAATCCGTTTATTTAACATTTACAGCAAGTTCATTTACTGGTACTACAATACTGGCATGACGTCAAGTGCAACTTTCTAAACGACAATAATAAAAATGAATGCTTTCATGTTTTCGTTGGATATTCTCGCTGGCTATAGATTCCATACATGAACTACAAGTTCCACAAAAGACAATTATGAACAGGGTCACAATATGGTTATACGATTTATTTTGTTTGCGACGATGTTTCATCAACTTCGTTATTGCTTAACCGTCATAGGATTCATTAACATTACCAATACATAGGAACTCTTATGAAAAATTATTTTAATACGTGAAAGTACTGATTATTATTTAGATTTTGGACAAATAACTGACGGTAATTTTGTAGTGACTCACGTTTATCACGAGAACACGATTGGTTTAATAAAAACAATTATTATTATAACCAACTGTACCAGTGTTTGTTTTAATGTGCTTTTGTTTAACTGTGCTAATTATAGCCATTTTGTGCTTCCATTACCTTCCATCATTGTTCCGCGGTTTTTGGTACTGTTCGCACGTACTCCTGTCTTCTGCTTTCGCTTGTACCATTCCTTGGCACGATCTCGGCATTCGTTCAATACCACGAGATCGCCAACGAAATAAATCTGGTTACGTTCAACCCTCGCCTTCTGATTCGCTTGGCACGTGTTTCTGGGTAGCGGTGTTCATAGTTAATCTCAACTCGACGCCACGCTACAATTGGTGATCCCAAAGTTTGGAACACGCCTCAACCTCGGGTCAAATCTTCCAAAGAAGTCAATTTGGTGAGTCTATTATTTATCTATCCACGTCTGTCGTATATTTTCATATTAATTTTTAATATATAATATACACGACATGACGGATAGCGAGAAGAATACTATTAATGTTATAGACTCAGACGTACAGGCCATTCATTTTCGACCTGTATCATTTATCCCCCACGACCCTGAGGTCTGGTTTGCTGCAATAGAGTCTCAGTTCGAGACTCGTCGCATCACGAGCCAAAGGCGAAAATACGCCTACGCTCTCGAATCGTTACCCGGGGACCATTTAGTAGCTGTTCGTGAGGTCGTCCTCAATTCTAACGTGCCTAATGTTTATGACCGCCTCAAGGAGGCAATTCTCCGACATTTCCTCCCATCGAGGGAGGAACGATTGAGGACCCTGTTAGCACGTCACCCCCTGGGTGATGCTAAACCAAGCCATCACCTCACGCGCCTGCAATCTCTTGCAGGACCAACAGCATCTGACTCGGAGATAGTTAAGGAACTATGGCTCGAGTCACTACCAGCCCATATCCAACCTACTGTGACGGCACTGCTCGAGGACTCACCGCTTAACCAGGTAGCCCTCATAGCAGACAAAATTTTGGCGAGGACTAGTAATAGAGACACTTATGTAGTTGCTTCGACGGCACGTCCTAAAGTAGACATGGACGCCGGTCATTCCTCAGCTCATGGTGACAGGGCCGGGTGTATTCACACACGTCTTAGTTTTCGAGACCGTTGTAACGTACCCCAACCCTACGTCCCCCGAGCTCGCTCAAGTTCTCACAAACCCGTCACCACTCGCCCAAAAAGGGCATCTTCCAGGCCACGCCGAAAGGCGGCTACGGAAGCGAGTGACAGTTGGTGCTGGTTCCATAGGTCCTTCGGGTCTGGCGCCCGCCGTTGTCAAGCACCATACTCATACAAGGCGGGAAACGCCAGCGCCGGCGAGTAAAAGCGGCCGTACTCGCCGGCCCTTCTCCCCAGGTTGGTCGCCTATTCTATGTGCACGATTATCGCACAAACGCTAGGTTCCTAGTAGACACTGGGGCCCAAGTTTCTGTCGTACCACGAGGTAGCAGCAAGTCACAAGCCAGAGTGCTTCGACTACGCGCTGCGAATGGCTCAGTCATTCCTACCTACGGTACACGACAACTCGCGGTCAACCTGGGCAACCGACGACGGTATCTGTGGACGTTCATCATTGCTGATGTTCCCACAGCCATACTAGGTATCGATTTTCTACAGCACTATGAATTGCTTGTCGATTCACGTAGGCTGCAGCTAATCGATACTTCGTCGAACAGCAAATTCATGGGCTGTAAAGCCCACATGAACGCGTATCGAATCCTCGGCACTTTTTACTCGCGTGACGATAAATTCCACGCTTTATTCGAGAAATTCCCCGTACTCACTAAACCACTCGAGGAGCTTCCATCGGTGACCAATCGTGTGGTACACCACATAGTCACCCGCGGACCGCCAGTCACGGCACGACCTCGCCGACTGGCACCGGACAAATTAACTTTTGCTAAGCGTGAGTTTGACAATTTACTAGCTACTGGTATTATTCGTCCTTCTCACAGTCCATGGGCCTCTCCTCTACACATGGTGCGCAAAAATGATGGGGTTAGTTGGAGACCATGCGGCGACTACCGAGCTCTAAACGTAGTTACGCGCTTTGATAGCTACCCCATCCCCCACATACACGACATCACGGCATCGCTCAAAGGCACGACTATCTTTTCTAAGATCGATCTGGTACGAGCATATCATCAGATCCCAGTCGCTCTTGAAGATGTCGAAAAGACCGCTATCACGACTCCTTTCGGTTTGTTTGAGTTCCTACGAATGCCATTTGGATTACGGAATGCTGCTCAAACTTTTCAAAGGTTTATCGATAGCATTGTACGAGACCTCGATTTTGTTCACGTCTATATTGATGACCTGCTAATCGCATCATCAAACGTAGATGAACATTATCAACATCTTACGCTATTATTCCAACGCCTTTCGGATAATGGAATAGTAGTTAACCCAGACAAATGCGAGTTGTGTAAACGAGAAATAATATTTCTGGGTCATGTTATCAAGCAAGAGGGTATTCTACCTTGTGAGGACAAAGTGCAAGCAATAAAGGAGTACAACGTGCCGTCCTCACTCAAGGAACTGAAGGCTTTTCTCGGTTTGGTTAACTTCTACCGTCGTTGCATCCCACACGCGGCAGAACGGTTACGACCACTAACCGACTTACTACGCGGCAACCCACGCAGATTAGAAATGAACGATTCTGCACGTACTGCATTCACTGAAATCAAAACGGCTTTTGCGCAAGCCACTCTTCTCGCCCATATCGATCCATCAGCCACGCTTAGTATAGCGGTTGATGCATCCGATGTTGCTATAGGAGCAGTCATGCAACAAAACATCTCCGGTAGTTGGCAACTCCTCGAGTTTTTCTCACGACGCCCTACTCCCACGGAGACGAGATATAGCGCTTTTGGTCGCGAGCTGCTAGCAGCCTACTGCGCCATCAAACATTTCCGGCACGCAGTAGAAGGACGTCGATTCATTTTATTCACCGACCATAAGCCCTTAACGTATGCTTTGCATACCAAGTCTGACCGCTACTCACCACGAGAGTGCAGACATTTAGATTATATCTCCCAGTTCACGACAGACCTTCGTCACATCCAAGGCAAGTCGAACTGTTTTGCCGATGCTCTATCACGAATCCAAATGAATGCAGTTACCCTGCCGGTGCTCGATCTTCCTGCTATGGCCGCTGCCCAAGCGAACGATCCCAGCTATACAAAAGCACCACACTCTACGTCCCTTCAGTATCAGGAAGTACCTCTAGTCACGACTTCTGGCACCACTCTATGTGATACTTCTACCTGTCTTCCTCGACCCATCGTACCCTCTGCTTATCGCCGTCTCGTTTTCGATGCCCTGCATGGATTATCTCACCCAGGTATCGCAGCTACATTACGCCTCATCGCTGCACGATACGTCTGGCCGTCCATGAACAAAGATGTTCGTATGTGGGCTAAGCAATGCTTGCAATGTCAACGATCAAAAGTGCACAGGCACGTAGCCGCCCCCCTCGGTACATTCGCTACGCCTGATGCTCGCTTCGATCATGTTCACTTAGACATTGTAGGACCACTGCCACCATCGCACGGGTATGATCACATACTCACGTGCATCGACCGCTTCACCAGATGGCCCGAAGCTATACCCATCACGTCTATCACGGCGGAGACAGTTGCTCACCGCTTCGTAGAACGATGGATAGCTCTATATGGTTGTCCCTCGACTGTCACGACTGACCGAGGACAACAATTTGAGTCCGCACTATTCTCCTCACTTACTCGGCTGCTTGGTACGGAACGAATACGCACTACCGCCTACCATCCAGCTTCAAACGGTTTAGTTGAAAGGTTTCACCGGCAACTTAAAAGTGCTCTTCGAGCACACGAAAACGACGACTGGTACGAAACCTTACCGCTCGTTCTTTTAGGTATCAGAACGAGTTTAAAGGCAGATATCCAATGTTCCGCCGCTGAACTTGTATACGGCACGACATTGCGTCTGTCCGGGGAATTCTTCACACCACGGAGAAGACCTAATTTCGCTAAATCAGACTACGTCCAACGACTGTCTGCATTTATGCGAACGCTGCCTCCGGTGTCAACTCGAATACAACATCGACAGGTCGCTCTCCCTCGAGAGTTATCTACCTGTTCACATGTTTTCATACGAGTAGATTCGGTACGCAAACCTTTGCAACAACCTTACGAAGGCTTTTTTCGCGTGATCGCTCGTCACGAAAAGACCTTCAAGGTTGATCGACACGGCCGCGTCGAGATCGTCAGCATTGATCGTCTCAAACCAGCACACGTCGATGACAGTGCTCTATCTGACAACCTGAGATTCAATGCTAGACCTAGCAAACCTACTAGCGGGATCCTCAAACCATCTTCAGGTCCCACGCTAGATACATCTGAGACCTCATTCTCACGTCCCAGTCAACAGCACGCGTCATCTGCACCGTCTACGGACGAGACGACAGTCTCACGTCCAGATCAGCAGACCACGCCGCCCTTGATTTCGGATGAGATTGCAGGCTCACGCGACGCGAACAAGACTGCCGTCTCACGTTCCGGTCGCCGAGTACGGTTACCCGTACGCTTCCGCGAATAGTCGCACAGTCAACAACCGATACGGTGTTGGATTATTCCTATACTACACGTATGCTACACTCTTCTTTTTTTTGATTTTCTTTTTGTTTCCTGAGCCCACGCCCTCGACCATCTCCGTTTGGTTCCGTCGACTTCAGTCAACTTTGGCGAAAGCTGGCCTGATCACCCATTCTCTTGTCAACGCACTCAGTCGATACATTGGTTTCGAATGCTTGGCACACGCTTGGTCTCGAACTTGGTCGTTACGGTCGCTTCTGGTCTTTTGGCTCAACGTGGTTTCGTCCTACGTCTGCAGCGTTTCTGGTGCGCACCCCTACGAACGCCCTCTTCAGATTCTGGATACAAACCACTCTGGTGTAGCATGCCAACGCAAGCAACAAATGCAGCACATCGCTCCTGGTACCGTTCTTCGGAAACGACCTTCGTTAGCAACTCGACGATCAACGATCGCTTTCCTGTTCGCCAATTCTTCCGTCCTACAATCGCTCGTCAGCCGATCAGTCCCACGATTCAAACCGCTATTTATCGAAAGTGTAAACCCTTTCTAGCGGGGGGCTTCTGTAGTGACTCACGTTTATCACGAGAACACGATTGGTTTAATAAAAACAATTATTATTATAACCAACTGTACCAGTGTTTGTTTTAATGTGCTTTTGTTTAACTGTGCTAATTATAGCCATTTTGTGCTTCCATTACCTTCCATCATTGTTCCGCGGTTTTTGGTACTGTTCGCACGTACTCCTGTCTTCTGCTTTCGCTTGTACCATTCCTTGGCACGATCTCGGCATTCGTTCAATACCACGAGATCGCCAACGAAATAAATCTGGTTACGTTCAACCCTCGCCTTCTGATTCGCTTGGCACGTGTTTCTGGGTAGCGGTGTTCATAGTTAATCTCAACTCGACGCCACGCTACAATTTTTTGGACATGAATGTGTCCTCCAGAGATGTGCTTTAGACTCAATATTATAATGTGCAATAAGCCAATTATTCATATTAAATGCATAAAAGTTAGTTGCAAGTATACAGTTTGTCACAGGGCCGAAATCGACTTATTCGAAATAGAATGATTAGGAGGTTTTGAAAGAAACTAAGCTTATGTACCACAGAAGTAGATTACGTTGTGTTGTACGATGCTTTTAAATCAATAAATCTTTACGAGATGACAAACGGTAATTGCTGCTCATGTAATTATCAGGGAGAGTATAGGTTGTATCCAAGGGATGCTCAACTCCCGACTTATTGATATGATAATGGCGCGAACTCCCTTTTCTGTTGTGGTAAATTTGACAGCAATATTTTCAGTTTGCGGAAGATTCTCTTGACTCTTTACACCGATAATCTACACTAATGATTCTATCACTAGATCACCAAATAAATTGAAGAGGTCCCACTATGTTTGCTGAATGAGTGACTGATAGCAAAATATACCATAGGCTTTTTTAGATAAAGATAGCCACAAAAAGATAACGCCGTTTAATCGTAATTATCAGCCAGTTTCTTGACACAGTTTGTATCAAACGTTTCACCAAGTTTATCAGTCATGCTATGTGAATGTCAAGTCGTGAAAATGATTTGTGAAAATATCTATAAATATTTATGAATAAATAATTATAGTATTGTTCTCGTATTATCTAGTAGGAAATAGGTAAAGTAGTTTTAGATGCTCAGTACTTTTAGTGGTTTAAAATATGTGCAAATTGAATGATTTTCAAGTGTTAGAAATTCGGGAGGGTTTGTGTAATTTTAACTAATCCGAGTTGCCTTGTTTTATTACAAATTATGGCGTGGAAATATTCCTTAACCTAATGTCAGATTTAAACGTGTTGAGCACTTGTATTAAAAGCAACTACATCATTAATACATTTGTCTAGTGCTTTAATATCTTAATGGAGTGGCTTTGTTTTCACCTATGATCTTAAATAGGTGAGTCGTTTTCCTATACAACTAATATGATGGCCGAACTCACAAACCCAAACACATACATCTGAAAGGGATGTCGTGGGTTTAGCGGAGAATATTAGAGCTGTTCAAATAATAGTCGAACTCGAATGGCATAGTGATAGTGTAATATGATATATGTGTAAACTAATTTAATGTGTGACTTGATGAGGTGTATAAAAATTAGTAGTACATGTCAATAAATTAAAAATCCGAGACATGACTTATGAAACTACAGTTTAGAGCCTGATGGAAGCTATATGGACTTCATAGGAGGTTACTGTAGTTGGCTTATTAATATTTATAGATGTGTAACGGCGATAGTCATAACGAAAACCAATATTGAATCTTATGGGCTTCGCTCAGAACCAACACACCCATGTTAGTATGTTGTCGTATGGAGTTATTCAGGGTCTTATATCAAAACAGGTTTGAGAGTGTTGGTTGTACGCAACAATATGTATGGCTACACTAGATGAAAATACATACATATTACGACGTATCAAAAAGATGGTAAATCACCTTCTGATATAGTGAAAATCGCCTGAATTGTCTTCGGAATTCGGATTTGACGTATGAAAACCAGATGTGAAAAATTGTGTAAATCGAAAAAGGACCAGATTAAGCGCGATGTTTGGAACTAATCCCCTAACTTTCATGTTGTTATTGACCTTGTTGCTCAGTTAACTCAACAGGAATACGGAAAAGACCAGAAAAATACTTCGCACTCGTCATGTGAACAACGCCGCAACCTGCGTCCATGATTTGGAATAGTGAATTGACGTGTCAACAAGTGTTTGTTATGTTGAAAGACGGGATGGGCAAAGATGTCAATGTCAGCCACAGCCTAGATTATATAGATGCACGTTATCGATATTTATATGTTGGTACAAAAAATCGTTCCTAGATTAACTTCATGTGTATTTATGCAAAATGTCTGGAACTGAGAGATGAAAAACAGGAATTTTTCGGTAAGGAACAAATAGTAGATATTCAGGTGTCATTTTCCCCCTTCAGTTATTTTGACAATAATTCGTACCTTGCTTTTGCAGCAACGATGAATTACTCCATTTTCTTCTAAAGGTACGCTGTGGTTCAAAGTTGTTATGTAACAGTCAGGGCGCTTTTAGTACAGTCAACCTTAACTACCAGATAATTTTGTCGTGGTTTGTATATTTCTTATCACATAATCCTCGGTAACCTTGGTCTCCATAAAAGCATGCCTGCGATGCTACTCATGAAAAAAGTAGATTGGACTGTTAGTGTACAAAACTCCGGGAAGCGTAAAGTGGAAATTATTTGTGAAGCAAATGTGGAGAAAATCCGCGTATTTAGGTGGATATTTATAGTTATTTGTGTGATATGTATTTGCAAAATCTCATTGAAAAATATACAGTGTACTCTATAGGTACAGCAAAAGTGCGGTAGGTTGAGATTCAGCGTAACAGCCAAGGAGTCACGTGTGTAAGAATTATTAGAGAAGCTGACGTCAGTGATAATTCAAGCTTTGACAGGATTTTAACCTGGTCAGTAACCCATAAGACATAAGTATGGTATTCGAATTATCGTATGAACTAGGAATTCCAGGATTAACGCAATTGAATTAAGAAGACACAGGCACAAACGAATGTATTGTATTTAGAATTCGAAATCAAGCATTCAACCAATACCAAGGTATCATTAGTTCATTCAAACACCACAATTTGTAATACGTCTGTTTGCCGATCTACCTTCTGTTAAATGACCAGCTTCTAGTCGAAGTGGTTCATATCCAAACACAAATGGGAAGCAATGACAGCTGCACAAACATATCCAACGTGGTCACAACTGAGGTTCTTCAAGATAGTAAGGATGTTCTTTACCTTCGCTACACTACGGTAAACTACATGGCCATTGGACAGCAACTTCAACACACCCCATGGCTACGAGGGTGAATAACTACTGGAAGTTGGTGACTTATATTCTTCTGAATGCTATCTTATGCGGCATTCATCCAACCGGAAACACCTAGAGCGATAACGTCGTGACTTAGGTGAGGCACGGAAAACCTGTGACAGGCAGAACGGAAAGTTTCCTCTGAGGGATGCCAAGCCCGAACTTACATGGACGTGATCAAAGAAATCAATCGGTTCATGCAAGTGATCACAAAGATTGGATGTTGAATGTGATACGTTTTTCGTCAGCATAACTGATCAAAGACTGGCCAATGAACAAATGGAGGAATACTTGGGTAAAAACAACAACCTGCACGTAACCCAACACGGGTTCACGAAAAGTAGATCTTGTAAGTCCAGTCTACCCACAGTATGTGAAAACTTGACGACCTGCTGCTAACGTAAGATAGCGGTCCGTGTGATGTCTCTCGATTTCGTAGAAAGCCTTTGGCACAATGCCTCTTCCATTTCTCATGACCAAGGGTTTCACCTACCGACATTTGTCTTGACTCCAAAAATACCTAGAGAACAGTATGTTTTGTATCAAATTAGATAGAGTACATGCAAGTCCAAAGGTGTCAACATCAGGAGTTTCGCAAGGAACAACGAACTAATAATATTTCTATACATGATTGCCCGCCGATTCTGAATTCCGAATATAATATGTTCATTTGTGCCCATCTATTGTACCTGCCTTAAACTGCCCTATTTCGCGGATTCTTAGCTAGCGCATCAGTTCGCATATTTCTAATTATCACATAACCTTAGGTCCACTCCTGTTTTTGATCTCTATCAACGACCTGTTAGATAAAGTTAGCTAGGAGGTATTGATCTATGGAGTTGATACAGGGGTCTGAATTTCCATAAGAGACTAAAATTATTCACTTGAGCTTCAAAAGTACTATACAACAATAGAAGAATGGGCATTAGACAATGGGTTAAAACCTAACCTGACGAAATGTCATGTCATGAACATGACACAAAGCACTAGCATCCTTCGGGAAATTCGGTCCCCATTGTCTCAGATTTGCAACCACGACAAGATTAGACACTGAAGGTATAACCAAGGGGAACGCAAGTCTCCATTTTATGCGGAAAAAACTTGGCTGAATCATCTCAAAATTGTTCTTAACACAAATTAAAACGTACACACGATCCACATCTTGAAGTTCAAAATGTCGTTGTGCCCTCTCTCTTCGAAAGACATAAATCTCTTAGATCAAGTGTAGAGACGGGCAGCAAACTGATTTATATGTTCGAAACATAAACCTTCGAAGGACAGACTTCAACAATAGGCATTATTGTCGTTGAGCTACAGGACAATAAGAGGTGACCTGATGGTCACATACAACATATTGATGACGCCAAGTTACTTCAAAATGAGCCTATGACCAGAACTTAATCACCACACTCCTCGACACAACCCTCGGAAGATTGCACATCAAAGAGCAAACACCCGGACATGCTTTCAGTTTGTTTCAATAAGAGTTACTCTGTTTGGAATGTCTTCCCAGCCACAGTGACCACAGCGCTATTAGTGGATAGCATTAAGAGGTGACATGACAAACACATAACCACATGGATTACTATCACCTTCTTGAACCAATTGTCTCGTGTATGTACAATAAATTACCTTGATTATCATAACCGTACATCAATAACTACTTCTTACCCCTTTGTTTGTAGCTTCCTTTCCCCTTCTTCCTCTTTCAATTCCGTCTTCCCACACACTACCAGTTATTTAACTAATGTATTTATTTCTTGGAACAATCGTCCACTTTTGGCATTCGAACAAGCTTCATAACTTTTTACATCGCAACCAGTCAACCCATTGTCTGATAATGTGATAGTTGCTGATATCCGGCATCTCTACCGCTGAGATAGACGCACTCGTTCAAATCACAAGATATTCAAATCTTAGATTAACTACAAAATCGACTCAAATAAGTGTAGTGAAATAGCTATATCACAACCAAATGGACAATAAGACGCAAGCACAAAGAAAACGATCGGGTTATGCAAACACGTGACAATGTTATTGGATATTGCACTGGTTTAAAATGTACAGGGTGACTTGAAACCTGCTCAAGGTCGTACGCTGGACATCCGCGTCGACTTCGTGTTTCATTGACACAAGTCTTAATGAGTTCAGTTTGATGCCTCCACTCCGATGACTTATGCCCCTATACGCATCTGATATTAACCACCAAACTGTTAATTGTTATTTAAAGATTGTTCCTACCTAATTTCACACGTTTTAGGGGTAATTTGTCTTTTCTATTCATGAATCGATCCACTTGTCTCCAATATTTAGTGTGATTTGTGCATCCACTTCTCTCTGATAAGTAATATATCTATTCCGAGATGTCGAGTGGTAGTTTCCGATTTGATATGTGACGGTATTTAAAATAAATTTTCAGAGTGTTGCAGATGTCGTCACCGTTGCAATCATTGGAAACTTCGGAATTACTTAGCTTTTTGGTAATCAATACATCGTTTAAATAAAACTTTGTGGAAATCCGTCACAGGTGTTTCGGTTTGGGTAATAATTTCTCATATGTTATTATGCTAAGTGCAGCTGTGGATATTATACGAAAACAAGATGTAAGATGGTTTTTCCCGAAAGTATTTATGAATCGTTGTCTCAGTGTAGCCATTGTTGGAAGTACTTTATTTGCTAGAATGCTCCGATAATTAGATTGTGTCCAACCTCTTCCATCTAATTTAGTATTGTAATCCCTCACAAACTAATAATTATGTTACAAAGCCGAGTATATAAATCCGTTGCACTACCTCCTTAGCTAGATTTTGGCTTAGTTGAGGATGATAAAGTTTGTATCCCTCTCTTTTTTTTTAGCGTAAACGTTTATGCCTTTATTTGCGCATGAGGTTTAGTGATCCTATCCAGTAGCTTAAAATGAAATTGATTGAGTGGGGTTCAAACCTGGGACTATTACGCCTTTGATCCTTTCCACACCCTTAAGCCCGAACTGGCAAGAAATTTAGCTTAAACTATTCCATATGAAGAATTGATTATTAGCGAAATTATTTCCTTTCAATTACTCTAACTCGAGTCATTCAGTTTAACCCAACTAATTCGAGGACACGAATAACACTGGCTCAAAATATATATTCCACGGGGTCTACTTTCAATCATTGACAAAGCCTGGTCAATTAGAAAACAGGTCAGTCCGTCTTTCCAGATTATCTTTATACTGAGTTTGCAAAGTAGTTAATCCTTTTAGTGTTAGCGGATTTTTCCAGCAGTATAACGTAAAATTTCTCATTTACGCTTAAATTAACCCGGAAGCTTCGTAACTACTCAGTTACGGTTTTTTTTCATGTAGTTACAGTAAGATATATAAACTATGTATTGGATTTTCTTAACCAATCGCAAATAATACTTGTTAACTGTTTTCGAATCAACTTCCTATTTTTTATCCTTTCATTTCATAGTCACAGATTGAATTCACTACGAACATCAGTACATATCACATAAACTGTACAAAGATTGGGACGGGAGTATGTTTTTGTTGTTTTTAACTCTTTCTTATAGAGTGTCCTGTTGGCAGATATACTTCCGAGTATGATTTTCAAGTTTATTTCCCCAATATTCATACAAAAACTTCATTTCCAGTAAGTCCTTTCTTTAAAGCAGTTTAGCCTTGACTTATAATCCAGTTTCCTTGGACATGTAAAGTAATCCATAATCTACGGTGATCATTGGGCAGTCACAATCATTATATTTGTCCAGTCAAGTTGCGTTCACTAGTCTGAGCGACATGAGATCACCTGCACCTCATGAAAGAGATCAGTTATGGCAGGAATAGCTCATCAGTAACCTCTCATATTATGAAGTTCGGTGACACCGATCCGAATCCAACGGAGAGCATCAATACCCTTAAGGTTGCAAACAAACCTTGTTGACAAGCTCCAGCTATCACTATCTAGAGTTTCTTACCGACTACTTTTAATCAGTTAAAATCTTAGTGAAAGCCATTGTAGTATCTGCTGAGATTGTATTAACTATTACAGTTGATGTACGATAAAATATTATGTTTCAGCATCCGGTAGCTGTGAGCTTTCGACAGTTATAATATTCGCATTAAATTTCTGTCATGTCTAGTTTCAATCTAAAAATTATATTTAAGTTTACCAAATCATTTTGAAATTGCTTGGTTTTTCATTTTATAATAAGTTAGATACTTCCTACGTAAGTTGCTTGTTGGGGGATATTTGCTCTTAACAGCCTGCCGATCTCTTTTTTTAGCTTCAAAATTTTATGCGCTGTCCTACTGGCGATTAATAGTTTTCTGGTGGTTTCATTTTCTCAGTCTTTCTCTACGAGTCTTTTTGGTAAGCATTTTCGGCTTAATGTGATCAGTTTAATGTTTGTTTCTTTCGAACTTGGGATCTGAACAAAAGATCATGTAGGGAACATAATTCGTAACAGTATGATTTTATTAGCCCTACTTTAATCATAACTTACTGGCTGAAACTACTGATAATAGTATTTTCTTATCGATCAATTGAATAATATCAATGAAGAAAGTATTTATGTTAATTGTTGGATGTATCATAAAAGTTTTGAAACATTATAATATTAAGGAACAAAGGCAGACTGAAATTGTTTTGTTTCCAAGGGTTGTTGATGCTATGAATTGCAGCGGATCGATCTCCGTGCATCCTGAGCAAGTCGCCTCAATGTTTCCGTCTAATCACTAGTGTTTTTTTAAGTTTGGTAGTAACTAGCAGTGGCATCCAAGACAAAATTTATGTGCTATATTATTTCATATGTTAGTACAATATATTATGTATAATATCCGTAAACCCCTTTCTGAAAATGTGTCATCTGCTTATACTGTATAAAATGTATCTTATGGTGAATACGATTTTCATGAGATTGAAGATAATGAACATGTTTGGTATTCTATTCACATATGCAAATAGTGAGTGTGAATCGTGGTGTATTCTGTAATAATGATGAGTGAAATAGATTATTAATAACTAATTAAACCGACTAGAAACTGTCATATTTCTTTTTTATGATCTTAACTCATTGTTAATTGATTCCTTTCTTTCTGAAAAAATATTTTTAGGGATTGTGTCGGCAAGTTTATCTTCAGGAATCGGAGATGTTACTTTCTTAAGCATGGTAGCTTTCTTTGACAAGTATGCTAATCAGCTTTCGACGTTGTATCTAATCGATTTTCTTTGACTAACGACTTCTTAGTGGGTTTCTTTTTACGAGGTTGGATCGTAAACTCTTCTCTCAGCCCTTGTTTATTCGAGCTTAGGACAGATATTAGCTTCGGAGGGCTTTGGGTTATGTATTTATATTCCATATTTACCTTATTTTTTATTTTAATTAAACACGTACACATTTGTACAACGGGGTACCGAATACATATGTGCCACATAAATCATCCGATTTGATTAAGGGCTGGGATACTATCTAGGTGCCCAAACCGAAGCACATGGTTCCCTTAGGGACCACTCCTCAAGTCTTTGACCTGGAGGTCTAATCTATAAGGTGGTGGAGCAACGGTGGGAAATGCGGTCTCAATGTAGCCGGCAACCAATGATTGGTTCATGCGCCATTTGTTCTCTCAGGATTTTGAAGCCCGCGTGCACCACTGGCTTGGAATTAGGGTTTTCCAACTCCCCTAGGTGGATCCTCCATATCCACCAACTCTGTTAGGGCAGCGGACATTCGCTTTTCGCTTTCTCAAGTTCGTAAACAACAGTAATTCCGTGAGAAGGCAGTGAGTAGGACTTCCATGTCAGTGGTTGTATACACGTGGGCATGTGATAGCACTTCGAGAGAGAGAGAGAGAGGGCTGACTCTCCTCACTCTTGGCCCCGTACCAGGGCATTTGAGGGCTTTGTTTCCCTGGTCTTGTTAGCAAGTGCAAATCTTGTTGAAGTTGAGTCAAAATCATGTCACGCATGTTGTGTAATTATCATCCGAGTGGTGTTTCCTCAGTCTTATTACCCTTTGTGCTAGAAATGACAAATTTTAAACTGAATCAAATTGTTTCGTTTTACGCTTCATTGAGATTATTGTCTATCAAGGTCCATCGGCCATTCCACGTTTAAAAACTTACGGATTTCTGATATTTGTCAAAATGCGATAGTTTTTCGTAGTCCACTCCATACATGCCATCTGAATAATGAAATCCAATTGGTAACATATTTTGCTTTTGATGCCTGTAGTTAGACATTACCTACACCTCTTGTAAAAAGTTACTCGAGGCTGGAGTAGCTCACTGGCATCATCTCAAACCGTGAAGATGGGTGACGTGTATTCGTATTTGGAAAGAAATCATCTGTTCCCTCGAGGTTCCAGGGAAACCTTGTTGATGAGCCTCAACCATCACGGAACCTAGTTCTAGAGTTTCTTACTGGTTACCTTCAGTCAGTTAACATCATAATGTAAACCATTGGCGTAGGTTAGATTAACTGTTACAGTTAACTTGTAAAATCCACTCGTTTTAGACTACGTCTAAGTTTCTGAGATAAGTCATAATTTACTGTAATGTTGATGTGGTGACAAAAAGTTTGGTCTAATGTTCAGATCATAAGTCATTGAGGATTACGTGACCTATAAGACTGATTTCGTTCATTCTTCTATGATATCTAATCACGTTCATCTTTTTGTCAACAGTTTGCGTGTAAGTAAGTTATCTTATTGAGTAAAAACACCTATTTTTTTGGCTAATAATATTGTCTTTAGTGTCAGCTCGTGCCTGGGATTTGCAATAATAATCCAGTATTGGGATCTGTTATCATACTATTACATTTCTTCTGTCTATCAGGATTCTTTTCATTCATTTAACAATTTTTAAACATCTTTTACGTGGAGTCATAAAACCATCCTTCATAAAAACGGGAGTAATCACTTAGCTTAATGATCGTATTACAAACACATAGGGTTTTATCTACTCTAGGAATTCTATACGTCTTTGTCCCATTAGTCACCTAATCAATTATTTTGTGTTTGTTGATTACTTGCGTATTCAACTTGCTCTTTGATCTCATATACAAAATACATTACTATTTTATAATTTCATCAGTACGTGATTTAAAATAATTGACGATTTTTTGTTTGGGGGTGGGGTGGACGAATTTTTCTCTAGATCTTGTATTTCGGCTTGGGCATGTGGAACTGGTGCAGCCGGTCTGATTGGTTCACTTTATTATGTTAGTTTGACATCAATAACTACACCGGAAATTACATTATGTATTGTCATTGTGGTTCCATGTACTACATTGTTAGTGTAAGTTGTTATATGATTGTTTTATATTAAGATAACTCACAACTTTTCTGAATTACAAACGATCGAAAAATGTCTGTTCATGCAACTGGGATTTACATGTACTTCTAGGGAGCTTTCTTGAAACACTGATAATCATAATCTACTGTGTGTTTGATTTCTTAAAATAGGAATTCAGGAAAAGCTTGATATTCAAAAAGTCAACATCACGGTACAATAATTCTTATACACAGCAACAACTATGACCTTGGGATGCGGAACAAAAATAGTAGATCAAAAACGAAAGTGACCAGATAGATAATAATATGTGCTGAAAAAAGTCTATCGAAAACTTCTTTATTTGTTAGAACTACCATTTATTAACAAAAGCAATCCAAAACTAGATAATTTGAAACTTTTCTAACAGTAGTTTGGAAGGGCTTTTCATATCACTTTCTTTCTGTTAAAATCCGTGTATTACTGAGGTAATAAAAGGCGAACTTCCTTTCTATTCCTTTATAAAACGCTATCTAATTAGTCCAGTAGAAATAATAAAAATGTTAATAAAATACATCCAATACAGTTATTATTTAATGGTTGAAGTGTCCAATTTTCGGCCTCTAAACCACTGATTAGAGTCCCGTTCTATCTACTTTGACTTGGACAACCGGGTAGTATCGTTTGCCCTTAACACATTTCTAGTACGACTCTAAACCAATTACAAAGATTTGTACCTGATAAATAAGTTGCAAATTTCAAGGTATATGCATAATGGAACGGTTTTTTGATGCTTTTCTCTCCTTTAATCGTTGTATAAACGTTTCTCACTTTCTTTGAAGTTATCGAGTTTTGCTGCTAATGTAGTGAGTGAAAACTGTGGTACTGCAAACCAGTTTATTATTTCATGAAAATCACACATTGCCTTTGTAAAATATAAAAATCATACATTGAGTACATCATTTGCACACCTTCCTTCAATTGCCCTTTACATACTCCATCATTCTTCTAATTCTGTCGCTATTCCGATTGCTCTCTGTCTTCCTTCTCTTTATTTCAATCTTTTGCTGGTAAGCATTCCACTATATACTATTTGTATCTGTTCATATAAGAGGCTCACACCACACTATCACATATCTCGCCTTCATACATTAAATTTAGCCGGAAACAGTATATAAAGTTGTTGTTGGTCATCAAGTTAAATAATTGATTACTACGCATACACAGAATATAAAGCGTAAATACTATTATTAGGTACTAAATTACTTTGTTTTTTGTCTGTTACGTCACATTCGATTTATTATCTGCGTACATTTAGTTTAAAGTCAAACATATATGATATTATTATAAGATATCTATCTTATTTGTTTCTCTTTTTATATCAAAAAGTAGTCGTCTATCATTTGATTGTATAGATGTAATGTAACCAAAATAGTCAGTTCATGGATTTAAACTTTAATGAGGTCAGCAACCGGATTTAGTGTCCTTTTCTATTGAGAAATCATCAACCATCTCAATGCGTTTTTAGTTCCCATTTTGAATTATGATAAATTATATCTGGTTGCCGCCAACTACCTAACATCTGTTAGATATAACTACTGGAACTAAGAAATTTATTGTTAAAGAAAGCAAAAACAAAGATTGGCGCAGAATAATATAAATCCATTTTTGTTAAGTTCTGATCAGCTGTTTGCAACCTATAATATTTTAAAATCAACTTAAATTCAAAAGTGATGTGACAGGGTCAATCAACAAAAGACTAAAAACCGTATTGACAGGAGCTTACCTTGCGGCTTAACTGGTTTTCTTGTCCAAAATAACATGTTCTTTAACACAAAGATCAATAGGTATCCCTTACATGTTACCATTAACTGTGTATACAGATTAACATGTATCTTCCGAATCAGTTGTATTGGTAGGACAGAACGGGGAGCCTTCGTCCGATTCAAAGAACATATTTTAAAAAGTTTGAGGTTAAGTGGATTAAAAGCATTCAACAGTATCATCTCAAGACATCTCGATATAGGATATCAAGTGGGTACACTGAAATTTTTCAAGGTGAGAAATAAACAGTCGAGTTATAATCTTCTGAAATTCGCCTAGGCGATAGTGATCGAAAGTTTAAAACCGGATCTATGTATACAAAACGAAGAAGTAATAAATCTTTCTTTGTCCTGGTAACATCACATTTTTTTACTGCATCATTCATTATATCAACTCTTTCTAAAGTTTGATTACTTCATTATCATTTTTCTTTAATTCATATCCTTCTTTATTACTATTAATCTGTTTCTAGTTACTTCATTACACAACCGTCTAGTGTTTTTTAACTCTATGATTTCTAATTACTAGTTCGATGTTCTGGAACTTTACCTCTCACACTTTGGAACAAGAAAATTAACTATGACCTTATTTACTCTATTGGAATCTTCGCAACGTCATGATACACATATTCATCTCTAATTACCTTCGTATTTATATTTATGTCACTACCTGTAATAACTTCGACTTCAAATATCATAAGTTGTAAGCAACTAATGAAAACCTAACGAAATAAAATGAATTCATGCTATTCTGAACCAATCTATGTCTGCCATTTATTATTATTGATAATCAGCACAATAGTCTTTTTATTTCACATGGTTCTACATTTATCGATTAGACAGTATGATGTTGATCATTGAGATAGTTGATTTGGTAGTGATGTACACTACATCCGAAATAAAATCCTGGAGTACAATGTGGATTCTTTTTTTAAGAGAATAGTAAAATCTCCACATGCAGTGAGAATATACCGTAATCATGCAATATCACTACATCCCACTGTTTACTTAAAAACATATGACAGGAAGATTAATAATTTGCAACAGTTTTAGTTCTAAGGATACATTATCAATACGGAGAACATTCTGATAGCCATTTTATAAATGATTATAATAAGTATAGTAATAATTACAAACAACTAATATATACTTACGAACAATTCTCCCTTAGGTATTTCTTCGTTCTAGACAGACCTCATCATGAAAAATTTCGACTGTATTTCAACCCTATCGTTTCGTCGGACAATTCCACGATGTCAACAGAGAGGATAAATGCATTGGTAACCAGTGAAGAGCCAGAGCACAGTAAGTTCCAAAAGTATTTATATTTTATCTTAACTACTCGTTAAGAAAAAGTAGTTAGATGTGTATCAATAAAACGTGTGCATTTCAGGATTTACATAATGCCAGTAGGTACAGCGTACAGAAACTATATATTTAGCGTACTTCTTACTGATGAACATTAAACAACATGAAGTATATTTCTTGGATTTCATATTTTTTGGAAATTACTGGAATACATCTTAATTATTCAGTGACTTTACTTTGTGCAAAGAATATTTTTCATATTTTGTTTAATAGCAAACACTTGTATTATCCATTTAATATACGTAGTTTCTTTCTCTTCCTACAAATGTATGTCATAATGACGATTTAGCTGAGATTGATGATGACAATGATGTAATAACTGATTCCGACGGGTATATTCAACTGAGAAATGAAGATGATATGGTTTATCATGACAATTCACAAGTTTCCAACTATTCATCTCTACCTGTTCTACATCAACAACAGCCTACATGGAAAATAAAACTACAGCTGTTGAAGGTGCGTTTTTTTCTAATGTGTTTTTGATATAGATGTATTTGTAACAGTCATCTCGAATAGGAATTGCTCTCAAATGCCCTGGTACGGCCGAGGGTGGGGAGAGTCAGCTCTTACATGGCCACGCGTATACAGCCACTGCCATGGAAGTCCTACTCACTGCCTTCTCACGGCATTACTTTTGTTTACGAACTTGAGAAGGCGAAAAGTGAATGTCCGGTGCTTTAACAGGATTGGTGGATATGGAGGATCCACCTAGGGGAGTTGTAAAACCTAAATTCCAAGCCAGTGGTGCATGTGGGATTCAGGATCCCGAGGGAACAAATGGCATATGAACCGGTTGTTAGTCACCGGCTACCATAGGACTGCACCTCCTTTCGTTGTTGCACTGCCTTGTGGATTAGACCTCTAGGTCAAAGGCTTGAAGAGTGGCACTGGATAGTATTCCAGCCTTTTCAAAAATCGAATGATTTATGTGGTGCATATGTATTTGGTGCCTCCTTGTACCAACGCTTGTGTTTGAATAAGACAAATAAAAAGAATATTAGGAATTGGTGTAGTAAATGAAACTTCATTGTTTGTGAATATTCTCTTTGCCATGATTTAGTTTTCGTTATGATGGCGCTTAGTAATATTGGTCTATGACGAAGGTAGCATTCCAGGGTGTCAGTTTATCATGGTTATGTAGAACTGAATTATTTGAATTGAAGACTATCTTCGAAAGTTGTTACCATTAAGTTTTTATTTTAGTATGGTGATTTTATAAGGAAAAAGATATACTAAGCCATAATGTTTGTTGAACAACTTATGACCTTACCATCATAGCAGTGGATAATCATCACTTCGGCTTTTGTAGTTCATGGTCAATGTAAATTCGCAATTGCGCTAGTGTAGACTTGGTTTGTAGAGTATCGCTTTACAAAACACCGTCAGACCTAGTGTTTGTCATGGTGAAAGTAGTTAAAATTATACAGCACTTTGAGTATAGTTTAAATGCGGTCTAATGATAAAGTATTGTAGTAGTTATTGGTTCAAACTCCGCCCACCTATCTCGGATTGAGAAACCGGCTATTATCACTGTCCCTCACATTTGGAATAAGACTTGTAGCTATGTGTATAAATCTGTACGTGGTATAGTATGATGTGATGTAGGTTTATTAATTCCAAATATTAAACTTCAGGTTTCGTTCCTATTTATTTTACCGAAGACAATTAAAAACTATTTTCAAGTTTTCTTCTGCTAGTACAGTGTAATAAAAGGTATTATCAATTAAAAATTATTTGTATCATTCTTTAGCAATACAAACTAACTGATTCCAACTCATCATTCTATAAAAGATTTGGTCGGTTAAAGAATCACAAATGCAGACTAATATTTGTTATCAGCATGGCGATTTTTGGGGATTGTAGTATTTTTAATTGAATTTACAAGTCGATCTAAGTTAGACCACCATTGATAACCTGAAAACACTAGACCGCTGTTTCGTTTTAGTATGGGACTCCTCAGCAGTGCAAGATCATGGGTCATGGATTGATTAACACTGTTGGATTCTGACTTGATGGTTTACAGCTTAAGCGTTTGCGTGAGAGATCGAAGGTCTGAAGTTCGACTCCAGCGTGTCGGGTTGTGGATGCGCACTACCGAGGAGTCCCATACTGGGACAAAACGGGCGTCTTCTGCTTTCAGGTTTTCAATGATGGTCTAGCTTAGATCGACTTGTGAATTCGACTAAAAATACTACAATCCCCAAAAATCGCCATACTGATAATAATCATGTGCACATTAGTTACTAGCTTCAAAATGGGTTTCCTGGAGTTCTAATGAGAACCCGTGATCGGTGGAGTCCAATCCGTGTCGTGTGTGAAGCAGTTATCCACTTCATACAATGGATGAAGGGTTGCACATGATTATGGATCGATTGAAGTTAGACATTAGTATTTATTTTTTTAAATATACATACACTCTGATACAACTCTTCAGCAAAAATGATCTGCTCTACATAAAAATAAAAGATAACATTGAGAAAAAATAAAGGGAGATAGATTAGTATGACTGAAGAAATTGGTGAATGACAATAGTGTTTGAAAAGAGATGCAGTTCAGTCATCAATGCAGCCAAGGAAGCCTTCTTGCAGTTAGGGGACTACGTCTCAATTTCATGAAGAATGCCAAACAAACCATGATAGGATTTCCGCTGAACTTTGTTCTGATCTATGTAATGACAATGTCTGAAGCCACTAGCTTGCACGATCCCTAGGACTTCAACTAAAGTGGTCATGATGATCTGACGGATGCCAGTCCTATTCATCTGTCGTTTATACCTTAGTGTTATTTCATTAGCTGACCACCTCTCTTCTTTTTCCGCTCATCGTCAGCAAAGAAATAATGTGTTCATCATTTTCTGGGTGTTTTTGGCTCTCTAATTGCTGGCTGAAAATGTTTGTATTCATAGAAATATAAAAAATCATTTTCATAATTTTTGTAACGGCCTAAGTTTTCTAAAAATAATTTAACCTCATATATATGAGATGTTAAATTATTTATATATCAGTCACACACTTGGAACCTGTTTTTATGTACATCTGTCCAAGTTGCCATATCTTATTAGCACATAGATATCAAGTTGTCAGACCAAATCCGTGAATAGCAGATGTAGTAACAGTATTAGTGGTATTAGGAAATATTAGGCATTGACGGTGTGACGTGAAAAGAAAATATAAACTAGTGAAATAAAAACAAAAAAAGTTGTGGGGAATTTTGAATCTCAGAATTTGGGGAAGATAAAGAATGGATGCACCTGTGCCTCTCTATTGCACAATCCAGTGGTTGTCTGAACTCAGTAACTATATGGATAACGCGATGGCGTAGCACACATAGTCTTAGCAGGACTATATTGAAAACAAGTAACCTTGTATACAGCCGAAAATTGTAATCTTTTTCGAAAATGTAAATATACATATACAAGAAACAGATAAAATTTTCTGTCTAAATCTGTATTTTCTTGACTGATTATAGTCCTTTGATCAACGGGAAAATAAATTAAAATTTAATTCCGATATTATCATATCATTGTTATCTGGTTTTTTTTAATTATTAATTTCTATTCAATATAGGGGATGATCAGTTCATTATTTTGTCTAGTTTCAGTTTATTTCTTCGAATATTTAATTAATCAGTCATTGGTAAGTAAAGTGTATCAATATATTTATAAACTATTGATATTATGTAAATGAAATATGTAAGTTTTAGTTAATAAAGGTTTTCAATTATCCCATTATTGATATTTAGCGCTTAATTTTGAATAGTTCTGCGCTAACATATGTTCATATTGTGCGGATCGCCTTGATATAACTATTTTATTTTAAGTTCTTTTACAATAGATAGATTTTATCAGAATGGGTTTTGTGGAGATTGTTGTAGTTTCAATAGTTAAGATCATGAGTCAGTTGAAGCTAGACCACCATGAAAAACCTGGAAGCACTGGACGGCCATTTCGTCCTATTGTGGGACTCCTCAACAGTGCGCATCCACGAACCCGCCTCGCGATATTTGAACCCAGAACCTATCAGTCTCGCGCGTGAGCGCTTAACCACTAGACCACTGAGGCGGCATCCAACGGTGTTAATGTCTAACTTCAACCAATCCACGAAATTGAGCGACACATCCACGATTGTCATCAGTGAGTTACTATCTCACAACTGACCCAGTTGAACTCCACTGGTCACTGCTTCTCACTAGAACTCCAGGATATATATATATTAGCTAATAATGGATGTGCTACGTCCTCGATTTCTCTATCCAATAATATACAGGAGAGAATTTTTTTCGATATAGGTTAAGGCCTTGAAACGATAGGCTAATGGGTTTAACCTTGTTTCTAGAATGCGTGAGTTGGGAATGCAGATTAAATACCTTGGGTAAAGAGATGAAAACTGTTCTACCACCTGATTGGTTGACATGCGAGAGAGAGAAGATGAGCCAACCGGAACACCACACGGTTTACTTCCTCTTCCGGTTAGTGAATAAATAGATGACTAGCACGACCACAACTCACAAACAATTGGAAAAATACAATTACGTCTAAACTGGGTATTAGAGTAGAAAAAACAGTACCAAAGTTGGCGTTTAAATTATAATAGCTTTGGAACAGAAAAAGGTATGGCAGTGAATCACATCAAACGAAAGCCTATGGTTTGTAGAATAAACTAAGGACAAATTTAAATATCGATATGGATGCGTCACTCAATTTTGTGGATTAGTTTAAGTTAAACATTAACACCATTGGATGCCGACTCAGTGCTCCACACAAGTCACTTGATTTGTGTATGGGCTGTGGTATTGCCTGAGTGCCCAGACTGTGAAGCAGGTGATTTTCTTGAGGGGCCACGCCCGGAGCCTTCGACCTAAAGGTCTGATTCAGAAGACAGTGAATCAACGTCAGGAGATGCAGTCTCATGGCAGCCAGCGATCAATAATTGGTTCATACGCCATTTGTTCCCTCAGGATCCTGGAGCCATTGGTTAGGAGTCAGGATTTCCCAACTTCTGTAGGTGGATCCTCCAAATCCATCAAGCCAGATAAAGCACCGGACATTCGCTTTTCGTCTTCTCAATTTCGTAAACAACACCCGGGCCACGAGAAGACTGTGAGTAGGAATTCTTTGGCAGTAGCCATGTGATGGCATTTCGAGAGAGAGAGAGCGGATTCCCCCACCCTCAGCCGTACCAGGGCATTTGGGGGTAATATCTATATGGAACTAACTATTATTGTTCAAGTATCGTCATTTGATCACTGATCAATGCAATCTTTATTCATTGGATGAAATTTTGTTTACTTACACTGCATAGCAACACCAAGTAAAGTAACTGATTCAATAGTTATAGTCTTTGCTTATTTTCAGTCACTATCCTTGTTTGATTATACAACATAACTCAAAATCAGTCACGGTAACATAGATGTATTTTTCTACTATTCTTTCTCTAAATCTGTGATTTATATGAGATATGTTAAGTTTAGTAAGTAGACTTTTATGTTAGGTCTTGTTGTCTATTACTTGGTTTCAAAATGGCCAGTCAAAAACAATACGTAGCTCTGTCTTGGCACACCTGGTTGACAGTGGGTATATAATAGATAAAACTGAATTGTACACCGTCATTTCTCCTTACGGTTCGGTTTCGTCTCTTGCTTATAACAGAAGCTATAGGGATTCGGACCCGTAACCCCTAGTTTATGTGTTCAGAATAAGTTTGTGACACTCCTGTCCTTGTCTTCTTCAGTATATAGTCAATTACACACTTCTCATTGAGTAATTTTGACAATGTTTTGTGATTATTGTTTTCAAGTCTATTTATCCACATCTGAACTATTGACCAGAACTTTTATTTTATTATACTTATCACTATTTACAGTACACATGCCCACTTACTATCACTTTGTCCTTCTCACCTATTATGTGTAGTTAGTTATGCAATCTGTTTCATTGTGATCATTGACTCATAAATTGCCTTGATTGGTTTAATATTTTCATATAAATATTAATGTATTTTAGAGTAACGTCTGATGATGATCTAATTGAAAACGATATTCTTCGCTTATATGCGTTATTCCGATTGATTGTTCATATTATTCCTTTGTTGAAATTATTACTACTGTTTTTTTATTTCCGTGTTTCTTTTCAGTTTGAATTACTTTACTTTCAAAATACACGTTTAACTGCTCCAGAACAATATAGATGGTGAGTAAAAATGTACAAGGATTTGAGTAGGATATTTGCTGTAAGAGATTTTCGCACTACTAAGTTAATTCAGTCACCAGATACTTGAGTATAAGCCACATTCTAAGTCCAGGCAGCTAATGATACCGGTTACCCAAACGGAAGTAAGCGTGATGGGGTTCGAACCTGTGACATCGTACCTAATAGTCCGTCTCCACACCTTGATACTACTACCATTTAGCTTGCCGAATTGAATTCAATTGAGTAATCGGGTCCCAGGTTAGTACTGATTGTTCGAAAGTCGAATGTATTTTACACTTTGCTACCAATCAGTTTAAGAGTATTGTGTTATTTTTTTATTCCCTCGGAAATATTGATCGGTTACATATTAATAGACCCGGAAGTTTGTGTTTTTTCTGAACAGTTTTTGTACATTATTCACTTAAGAGATATTAGTATAGGTGTAAACGACTCAGTGTCTACGCTAATTCTGTTTGCACTTCTGATCTCCATTTCCTCATGAACTGACTACCTTTTGCATATTACAGTATACTACTTATCAACATTAAGTAACTTACTTCACTTTCAGTTATTTTGAGCATTTTTGATGTAAGCCCAATTTATTATGTTCTTTTGCTAAGCGTTTACATGAACCTGCGACGTTCAGTTTATTCACTAATGTAATTGAAACTTCTTTGGAGTTGTAGCAGTTACTTGGAATTTTTGTGGACTCATTTATTCTCGATTTAATTTTAACAGGTATCATTTGTATTCTTAGTCTCCGTTTCGATCACTGCCCAATGTTGTCATTTTGACTTAGCTGCTAGTTGTTATGAACGACTTTCAAAAGACGCCAAATTGACCCTGAGGAAATTAAACTTGGAGTGTAAAGAGGGTTATAAATTACTGTGAGAAATCAAAATCGGGATTTATAGTTAGGGTTTCTCCCGTGAACTGGAAGCAGGTATAATGCCTAAATGCCATTCAGCCGTATGGATGAACAAATTTCATGCAAAAGTTTAAGACTCGCTATGTAATTGGTTCGTCCGTAAACTATTCTCATCTCTTATCGTGCTATTTGCGCTGTATGTTGACCTGGTAAACGCCGTAGACACCTCATGAATTTGTTTGTATAATATCTTGCATATTTTTGTGTATTAATAGTATCGTATCCTGGACAAAATCTATTGTTTTGAACTTCCAATTTTTACACATAACTTAGTTGTTTGTTCAGAGCTTCGGTAGACTCAAAAGAATATGTAAACTCGGTAGCTTAGTGGATAACTCGATGGATTTTGTAACAGTAAGCGCTAGGTTCGATTCTCTGTAAATATTAACACATGGATCCAGGTACACCCAGCCCTTGAATACCAGACAGGATGAAACACTCCTCCTAGACTCCACTTCTAGTTATAGTCCAGTTCATTACTTGTTTCAAAGCTTTAAAAAACGGCTTTTATTTTTTAACTGTTCAGGAACTCCTTAAAAGTGTAGAAATTTTTGTATTTTTTACGCTTCGGGTTTTTATATGAAAATATTTGTTTCCTCTGTACATCAAAGTGATGTAAATGATATTTTCAAATTATTTTACTCATAGCTAAGAATCATTTACATGAAACGTGTGATGACAAGCTTTTGTTTAGGAGATGAACTTGTTATTTGTCTCGAATTTTTGTGGATTCATTTTAGTGAATCAACGTTTTTTAAAGCATATGATGCAACAGTAGTCTTCGAATCAAGATAATCTACATAACCAACTAAGTAACAATCATGTGCTCGCTAATTAGGTCAGCTTCTATGTATTGGTTCATTTAATTGGTATTGAGTCAATTTAGCTGATGTCAGTTCGTGATGAAAGCTATAAATCAATCCTAACCCTTACTATCAACTGTAAATCATAATCCTCATTCTTCACACTGCTTTATAACCTTCATTTAGCCCCAATCAGTAGGTAGGCGTTCTCAAGGTCACCTGAGCGTCGTTGAAAGGTCGTCCATAAATTATAGTCTAACCGAGATAACTCCATGAGTCCTTGTGAAAAACTGTTACCCGCGGAATTTAGTTCGTCGAATGTGAAGCAGTTACCTATCAATAACGTTGATGAAATTTGTTTGCACAATATTGTGAATTGTTTGAAATTAGATATGTAAACTATTAGAAGCGAACTTAGTGGTTGAAAGGTTAAAAACATACTGCTAGACCTGTAAATCGTGAGTTTGATCCTCTCGGGTTGTAAATCTTCACCTCTGAGGAGTCCTACACTAGGATGAAATAGTTGTTTCGTGCTTCTTGTTGTTCACTGGTTGCTTAAAATCAGTCCGTAATATAAATTATGAAAAGGTAATTAAGTGATTAGTTCGTTCGAATTTCAGCCACTGAATCGCGCTTCATCTACTACAGCTTAGTCAACTGAATAGTATCATTAGTTCTTACAATTCGAGTGTGACTCAAAGTCAGGTACCCGGAGAATGAGTTAATTTTATTTTTTTGAGAATTTCTTGCTTTTGTCATTTGTTTTATCGCCATTATTATTAGTTTTCTCACACATCTGTATGTTGGTTTGTTATATATATATATATATATATATATATATATATATATATATATATATATATATATATATATATATATATACAGTCAATGAATTATTTTCGCAGAAGCAGTCTAAAAGTTTACTTTTGTTTGCTGTCCATGTTATTATTATTACTATTATAGAATGTTAACTTACCATACCAGTTTAATACTTGGTGATACACTAAACAATTGTTATTATTGTCCATAGTATGGTGATACCGTTTTGTTTTTTCATCGATTTGCTCCCAGAGCTTATTGAAATTCTTGTTTAAACTAGAGATAAATGAATATATTTTACTAAAGACCTAAATGCACACACTGGCATTACTAGATCAAGTGGACAACAACGCATAAATATCAAAATATTTTTAATTAAGGATATAAACATACATTATGTATTTAGTAAACTAATACACATTTAATAACATAATTATCAGATTCAAGTGTCACTGTTCAGAAATTTTAATTAATGTGTTGTGTATTATTATAAGACAGATTCTAGTTTAAAATGTGTCATTTGAGACTTGTATATCAATAAGGCAAACTATTAACTAACTGTGGAGAGTTTCTAATAACTAACTTCTTCTTTTAAGATATATGTTATTGTTGTTGCTGTCCAAAAAGGGTATGAAATTGTCATAGTTAAGCCATCCAATTCGACGAATATAACAATTTCAACATTTTCAACCTATGAATATTTTTGATCATTCTCAAATTCTAGATAATTATTGTCTCCTTTATCTATCTTCATATGATTTTACACTTGTATATATATATAGTATTAATAATCTTTGTTACTTCATTTTTCCAGTCATCAAGATTTATTACTTAATCTTGTGTTTTACGGTTTTTAGCAGCAGCTAATAAAAACCGATGAATTCATATTAGTCTACGTTAAATTCTCACCTTATTTAAGCAGTTTGTAATTGATATACTCACTTATGGCTATTCTGTCTGCTTGTTCATATACTTTTAAACATTATGTCGTGTCATATTATGTCTGATTACTTGATTATTTCTCATCTATATTAGGGTTGGTTAAGATTTGGACTATACCATACTATATTTACTCATTTACTAGGTACAGATTCGTGTACTTACCTTCGAGTCACACTTTAAGTGTGATTGTGGCTAGTGGTACAATCCAGTTTCTCAGACTGAAGTAGATAAAATGATGCTTGAATGTTCAACTTAGTGACTAAAAGTCGAACGACTTAACTATTGAACCACTACCCCGCCTTTTTCTCTTACTGTTTTCCTGTTAATAGATTTTCAATGTTTTTTTTTCGAAGATTAGAACTCATTATATGCTGATATATGATTACTACAATCATTACATACCACCACCCCCCCCATCCCCAGTAAAAAAAACAGACAATTTAACCATGATTAAATAGATCAAATTTTATTGATAAGACTCAAAGCAAATGAAAAATTGTATAAAAGACAATAAATCTGATTGCCGTGTTTCTGTGCATGAAATCATTTATCTAATGTCAATAATATAGAAATTAGCTAATAAAATTAAGCAAAAATTTATCAGTTCATGAAAATATTTCTACTTTAATTTTTTGACTAATTAATTACTCAATGAAAAATTAATTAATTAATTTAAACTCATTCACTAAGTTTACGTAATCAGGTTGAGATGATAATTTATGGACGACCTAAAATGACCGTAAACATGTTCACCTATTAACTAAGACTAAATGTGTGTTATAACCCAGTGTAAGAAATTAGGAATTAAATTTAGGGTTTTTATCACGAACCGACATAAACTAAAAGATCAAAACGCTATTTAACCAAATAGAGAACTCTTGAATCGATCAGCTCCACTGAACCAACCCAATATCGAGGCAGCACCTACGGACCACCCAATCGATGTTGGCCCACCAACAATTAAAGAAATCAGCATGGCCATCAGACAAATCAATAGTGGCAAAGCAGCAGGATCAGACAACATTCCAGCAGAGGCACTGAAAGCAGACGTAGCGGTAACTGCAAGGATACTCCACATTCTCTTCAATAAGATTTGGGATGAGGAACAAGTACCAAAAGACTGGAAAGAAGGACTTCTAATCAAAATACCGAAGAAAGGCGATCTCAGCAAGTGTGATAACTACAGGAGCATCACTCTTCTCTCAATACCGGGAAAAGTCTTCAACAGGGTATTGTTAAACAGGATGAAGGGCAACGTAGACGCCAAACTTCGAGACCAACAGGCAGGATTCCGTAAGGATAGATCGTGTACAGACCAAATCGCAACTCTACGTATCATTTTAGAACAATCAATGGAATGGAATTCATCACTCTACATCAACTTCATTGACTACGAAAAGGCTTTTGATAGTGTGGACAGAACAACACTATGGAAGCTTCTTCGACACTACAGCGTGCCTCAGAAGATAGTCAATGTCATACAGAATTCATATGATGGATTAAACTGTAAAATCGTGCATGGAGGACAGTTGACAAAGTCGTTCGAAGTGAAGACCGGTGTCAGGCAAGGCTGCTTACTCTCACCCTTTCTCTTTCTCCTGGTGACCGACTGGATCATGAAGACATCGACATCTGAAGGGAAGCACGGGATACAGTGGACATCTAGGATGCAGCTGGACGACCTAGACTTTGCAGATGATCTGGCCCTTCTATCCCAAACGCAACAACAAATGCAGGAGATGACCAGTGTAGTAGCAGCCTCAGCAGCAGTAGGTCTCAATATACACAAAGGGAAAAGCAAGATTCTCAGATACAACACAGCATGCACCAATCCAGTCACACTTGACGGAGAAGATTTGGAAGATGTTAAAACTTTTACATATTTAGACAGCATCATTGATGGACACGGTGGATCTGATGCAGATGTGAAGGCGCGGATCGGCAAAGCAAGTGCAGCATATCTACAACTGAAGGATATCTGGAACTCAAAACAACTGTCAACCAACACCAAGGTCAGAATTTTCAATACAAATGTCAAGACAGTTGTACTGTATGGTTTGGAAACTTGGAGAATTACGAAAGCCATCATCCAGAAGATGCAAATGTTTATTAAGAGCTGCCTACGCAAAATACTTCGGATCCGTTGGATAAACACCATCAGCAACAACCTACTATGAGAGAGAACAAACCAGATCCCTACGGAGGAAGAAGCACTGGAAGTGGATAGGACACTCATTAAGGAAAGCACCGAACTGCCACACAAGACAAGCCTTCACATGGAATGCTCAAGGCCAAAGGAGGAGAGGAAGACCAAAGAACACATTACGCCGGAAAACGGAGATAGACATGAGAAAAATGAACAAGAATTGGATGGAACTAGAGAAGAATGTACAGGACAGAGTGTGTTGGAGAATGCTGGTCAGCGGCCTATGCTCCATTGGGAGTAACAGGCGTAAGTAAGTAATTTAGCCAAATAGACGAATACATTTTGTGCCAACATCCAAGACCTATTATCTTATATCTTGTTGGTTTGCTCATAAATTATAGTCTCGCCGTAATCAGCATTGAATCATATTTTTTAATTGTATGTTACTTACTACCTGATTGTCAAAGTCAATGTAGACTAAGCGAGGTTAAATGATGAGATTTCATAATTGAAACGCAACGGCTTTTTTCTTTTTCTTTCAACTATTGAAGCATTGAGAATTGGCCTGTTGTAAATTATTGACCTCTTACTACTACTGATTTGCTTTGATCGAATATATTCCTTTCTCTCTAAAAGGAGTCCGATACTAGGATGAAACGACCGTCCAGTATTTTCTAGTTTTCAGTGGTGGTCTAGCTTAGATCGACTCGTGAATTCAACTGTGAAAATATTACAATCTCCACAAACCCCCAATCTGATAAAAGAACATATGTTGTCAGTTAGTTAGCTGGGTCAAGATGATAATATTTTATAAGATTGTTTTTTTTAAACTGTACAGTGTTGTTATTCGTTACTTGATATTTATTATATTACAAGCAAGAAGTCAATTAAGCAATAAAGATGATACTTTTATAGTTTAAGTGTTTTTTAAAGAATATTTGAATTAGTTGATAGGTATTTGTTACAGATTAATGTTAGTTAAAGTACTATTTAGCATGCAATTCAAATTCATTGGTTCATATTTTTGACTTCAGTTAATTTTTCAATATATCTTGGAGATCATTCAAAAACATCAAGAGGATTGTTTAATTCTTAAGATGTTTAAACTTCACCATATAATGCTTTTCACTAGATTTATGAGCATTCATCTTGAAGCTAGTCACTAGTATTTAAATGACTAGATACTTCAATAGAACAATGAGAAGACCAATTCGATCCGAAAAAGGTAATTCATTTGAGCTATACATTTTGATAGTTGATTTTATGAGCCGCTTTAAGCTAGACCATCATTGAAAACCTTCTTACTATTGCTGACTAGTGAATGGCTTCAAGATGGATTTCCTAGAGTTCTGGTGAGAAGCTGTGACCAGTGGAGTTCAGTCCGTATCGGGTAGAAACAGGTATTTACCTCAGACAATGGATGAAAGGTCGCGTGATATCATAGATCGATTGAAGTTAGATGCTGGTTCATTGGTCTAGAGTATAAGCGTCCATGCGCGAGACCGAGGATACTGTATTGGAGTCCCGCATGCAGACCGTGAGTATGCGCTGCTGAGGAGTCCCATTGATGTAGATTCTATGTCCCGTTTCGATTATGTGCTTTGCTATCAATCAACATAGTTTTCTACATCCACGTTTATTGGAGCATTCGTCACTTATTGGTTCTAAGGCCATCTGGACATATGTTCCATAACATTTGATTTTATTGCTCGATTACTCCTCCCTTTGTATATGTGTCCAAACAAACATGTAAATTGGTTAATACCGTACGATGCGACGTGATCGTTCGATCATTTTTAGGTCTATTTGGAATCCTAAACATAGTCTTTTCAATCACAACCAGTTTAATAGCATAATCTATTTTCTTGATGGCTACTTTTATTCTCTGTCTCAAAACTATACTGTTTAATTCACTTCTAAATGATAGAGAGATATAAAATTCTTTTCATCGCAGTAGAATTTAAAAAATTATTAGTGTCAGTTGATTTTTACACTGATTTATAAACATTAATGAGCAATCGTTCAATATCATTAGTTTCATGTCTTCTTCAAACGTATATGTATTATTCTTTCCGTACTATATTAAGTTTCTCCTTTATATACAGTTGTCACTTTGTGTTTTTATTTGGACTTTCACTCATTTGAGTCGAATTAACTTTGGCAATTTATGGACGAACCAATTAGATATAACAGATCTTGGATTTTAGCGCGAAATGCATTCACTCATTTGGTTAAATACCATTTTGGCATTATAGTTGATGTCAGTTCGTGATGGGAGTATTTAATTTAATTTTTAATCTCAACGTTCAGCTGTAGATCCTAATCCTAACACTAATATTTAACCATAATATGTAAGTAGGTGAACATTCCAGGATCAATTTAGGGTTGCTCAAAGGTTATCCATAAATTATAGTTTCACCGCATCATATTTTTACAGATCAACTCGGTTTTCTCATTTGTTCTATCCAAACCTATAGAATGAATTAATTGCTTCAAATTGAATCTTTCGTTGTTGTGATGATGAACCGTTGAGACTAGTTCTTTTTTAAAAATATGTTTTCATTGTCACCAAGATGACATCAGTCTTGATAGCTTTTGAGAAAAAGGTACCGCATATGTACTAAAACAGTATACTGTTTTTAAGCACTCACTTAAGAAGTTCTAGTTTGAATTATTCGATTGTCGTTATTCATGACTTAATTTTGATCAGAATTTTAATAAAACCGTAATAAATATCACGTTTATCGTAACTTAGAAGATAACACATTGGAGTTTGATGCTGAAAGTTAACGGGTTCGAAGCCCATTAGAATTATCAACACTAGAGTACGATTATATCTTATACAAACTCAAGTGGAAGTGAGGGTAATTTATGTTTAAATTTATCAAGCGCTTTAATTAACATATATTAATAATATGGTGTCATTTTTGTCAGTAATAATTTGCCTCTATAACCGTACACATATTATATATGAAGATAAACTCCACCTGATGACCAATCAAAATGAAGCGGGACATATTATTTACACCATCGTAGTCCACTATGGAGGCCGTGTTTTGTCATCTGTTGCTTTTGCTGGCTTACATGTGAAATTTAGAGTTTTCTGCAAAGAAAATACCACATCAATATGCGACGGATATGTCAAATGTAGGGCAGTCAGCCACGATGGGAGAAAAATTACAACATAGTTCATTCTTTAGCAGAAAGTATTCCAAAATGTCTATAATTGAGTGACTAATTAAACGAAAACATAACCACAATTGCTGACTCCTAGGTTTGAAGCGGTTACGAGTTCACTTAGACTGCGAACGGAACAAGGACTTGTGACCAAAAACCAATAAACTAGCTATTCTATTGCGTCCTAGCCCCGCTAACTAGAGAGAGAAGTCGAAGTCCGAACGGGAAATTATATTCCACAAAAAGCTAGAAGCATGAACGATAACAACAGACACAAATCAGAACGTATATATACAGCACAAAACCGTCCTTGGGAAGGGTTACAAAATAGCATACTAAAAGACACAACGGACCAATAGCGTTTAAGATTCTCCCAAGTGAGAAATACAACATGAAGGTAAATAGAGCGCTTTTGGCGCGAAAACAAAGAAATTTAACTTTTCAGAATAAAATTACAAAATTAGGTCCTTTTCCAAGTGAGTTCTGGGGATCTAACGTCCCCAACACTGACTACAATATACTTGGATGACTTTAAAATGTGGAGTTTATCCCTAGCTCATATTCATCCCTTGATTGTATGATTGATTACATGATATATCCTACACATATACTCCTCTTACTCGCTTAAATATTAGTTACGTAAATCGCTTGATGACCTATTAGAATGCTTGTATATATTTAATTCTTAAATTCTATCAGTTCAGTGATTCTTATCCGTATTCTCATATTATCTTGCACCGTATGCTTGTCAGTTGTTTAACCTGTGCTGTACTACAATAAACCGTAGTCACCACTTCTTAGTTGTCTTCCGAAAATTATACGTCCCTGGGACTTAGCGTATTAACGATTTTCAGAGTAAGTGATTTGTGAAGTATGAGAAATGTCTCGAGGATGAACCACTACAATCTAGCTGGTATCAGTGAATTCCATATAGGACGAAACATGCATTCACTGCTAGACACAATCTATCCACTATAAAACAGTTTACTTCAAGTATTGTTTTTATTGTTACATTTCAAATTTCACTATGATATTTCGTTGTTGCCATTGTTGTTCATTTAAATAATATAGGTATCAAGTACTTTATCAAATTGGTGTATTTTTATCAAGGTCGTCAGTCAGTTTTATTCAATTTAAGACTACTTGGATTATGTCATTGCTACAAGTAAGTTCATTAATTTTTTTTGTACTACTGATCTGTTTTTAAATAAAGTTAGACAGTTATCTATAACGTGGGACCAGGTACGTATATGCATCGTTCTTAGTTACCATGCCTCATTAACACAACAAAATGGACACCATATTCATGGAGTCAGTTATTTCAATAGTAATATATATATAATTGCATATAAAGATGTGATGCAGGAAGAAAGAATCAGTTCGTGGGAAGTAAGTTATAAAGCACTTTTAATCTCATGGTCTAAGGGAAGACAAAGAGTGTACACACATACAACATTGTGATCGATTCTGAGCCATATCACACAGAGTTCCCAACCACTGGTTACGACAGACGCGCGGACACCAACTAAGTAGTCTGCATCTACCAACATTGATCAGACCAGAAGTTAGTGACTTTATGGGCTGATGCCACATTTCGGTTTGGCCGCCCCTAACTTTCTTCCAACCATCCCCAACACTAGTCAGCATTGCGTGCCGTGGTAGTCGATGGTTGGGCATATGTAATACGTAACCCAACCATCTCAGTCGATGGAGATTCACAACTTCAATTGATTTTCCACCGTTCTCTGATACCATGCGTCTAACTTTATTGTTACTTACCCGGTGATCCCAGCAGACACAGGTTGTCGATTCATTTTACTACTCTACTCCCTATCCTTAGTTCAGGCTGGTTTCGAAGTAACAATTTGCATTCCGAGAGGGAGAAACGCATCCCAAACATCCTGGCATTGTTGCTCAGTGCTACCAAAAGACTGCATTTTGTCAGCGTTTTCACCAAACAGGACTATGTCATCTGCGTATTCTAAATCAATATGTGGACCTCCTGGTACGAGATCAATCCCCTAAAATTCAATCGACGATAAAATTGGGCAAAAATAGAGATAATGGAAAACCTTGCCGGACACCACTTGAGGTCGCAAAAGCAGATGACAGTTCGCCATAAGCCCTAACTCGACTGGTAGTGTTCTAGTAAAGAGCATTTCACATGGTTTATGTACTTCTGAGGTACACCTTTCAATGAGAGACACTGCCATAGAACCTCTCGGTCTAAAAAGTTAAATGCTGCTTTTAAGTTAAGAAAAACCATCATTTTCAGACTGCGCACGATCGTTCCGTAGACTTTTGGTTAGTCTAGATTTGATTTATTTTGACTTTCATCGTGATAGGATAAGTTTACGAGAACCCATCAGTGCAACAGATGTCGCAGAAATCCACTGACTTTTCGTAACCTTTGAGTTAAAATCACTAATGGATGTCACTGCTGTTTCTACAGCTGTTCTTATATCTTTCCAGGCGATATCTGGGTTAATCTCGTTTTCGAAATAGCCTAAATGTGACTTCTGGTGTTCCTAGAGTTTTCCTTTGGCTTTCTCATCGCTGAGATCAACTCTGTTTGGTATTAATATGGCTTTTCTGCATTCAGTGAGGTGTAAGCAGATACGTGCTCGTATTAGAGCATGATCAGAGTTTAAGCATGTATTCCAGAACGATCGGCAGTCTAATATCGAACCTCTCCAACTATGACTGATATCAGTATGGTCTATTTTAGTCCATCTCTGGTTTGGTGCAAGGGGTTGTCCCGTTAGACGATATCACTCCTTATGCCTAAAATTAGTACTTATCAAAAATAAACGATTGCCTAAACACCGCTGCGGCAGACGGTCATTATTATTTGTTCACTGAATCGGAATACTAAAATACACACCCAAATGTCTTTGTGTTTGTTTTAAGCTACTTATTTGGGCATTAAAGTCACTTGCTACTAATACTATGTCTGGGTGTTTAGTTTTCTGAAGTTCAGAATGCTTTCTGTAAAATTCATCTTTCACTTCATCCAGGCTGCAGTCAGTGGGAGCATAAGCAGAAACGACGCGTGTTCCTATCCTGCCGAGTTCTTGCGAACCCGTTTAGCCGGACAGCACACAGGACTGTTAACGGGGATCCATTCTAATGGTGCTTGTTCTGCCCTTGTACTCAGTGCTATGGCTACGCCTGCCAGTCCACTAGAACTGGCCATCGGGTCGCCAGATACATGGGGGTGTATCTCGTCGGCTCTCCGTTTTCGCTAGATGAAGTCAAGTGAATAAACACTAAGATCCTGTATGTATGTTTCGGAGATACAGCATACATCAATTGTACGAAATTCTACGGTATTAGCCAAAGAGATCTACAGGTCGTTTTGACATGGGGTGCGTACGTTGAAGGCTCCAATGTGTAGTTTGAAGCGAGGTTTCAGTAGACCTGGGACAGTATTTTGCGCACTAGAATCGTTGGCTATGATGATACTTGAGAAGGAAGTTTAGAGTTGATAGTTGAGGTAGGTGGAATTATAGGAATTGAAGGAGATTGATCATGAATTCAGTGTTCTGGAGTGCTGTTAGAGGTATGAGGGTGGTTATCATTTCCCGGTTGTCCACACTGTAGATAGGTTCTTCTAGGGGTACCTGAAAATAAAATCGGGTTAGGGGTGGTCTTTGTGACCTGAGGTCGTGGCCGCAGTGCCCAAGGGCTGGTTATACACGAGTTTTTTGTGGGTAATTTTTTTGTTATCCGTACTTGTTGAAACCTTACCACCAGAGACAGAAATCCGTGGGATAAGGCGGAGTGAGTATTTTTAGGGTCAACCTTCTCTATCCCCAATCTTCCTTTGTGGGAAGGCAACATCACTATCATGCTGGTTGTCTGAAGGAAACACCTTACTGCTGTCACACCTCTGTACAGTCAGCGGTACAACTTCGTCCTCGCACACGGTCGGACCTTCAGGGACGATTGTTACAACCATTATAGCTCGATTGGTTCATCACGATAGTCAAATCAGACCATTACATTAAGGTAGCAGCAATGGTAGGGCTTTAGGTGAAGTAATTTGACTGGATTCTTACTAAAGGATAATAATTTTAGTTTATTTCAAGTCTTTCCTTTTTATCAGTGCCCGAAATTTTTGTGGAAATGTTTTATCTATATACATCTTACACCACAAAATGATATCATTTAGCGGACTACCTCAATCTAGGAACCACTGGGCAACTACCTTGTTCTTATATTGAACTTTCTGAGTTGTGCAATCACAATCCTGTCAGGCACTTAATCCAGAACCTTGCAATTCATTATTTTAGTCAATATCCTTTTCAATAGATAAATTCACTTTTTTAATATCCTATATGTTATTGATGTATACAGTGGATTACCTTGAGATTACCATTTAGTCATAAGTTCACAGTGATTCTCAAACAGTAACTTTCGCCTCAAATTTCAATGCTTTATCTACTGTGTGACTGGATCCAGATAGCTACTTAGTTATTCAATTGTCATAAACTTTGCTTGTAAGGATTTGTACAAATTTCAACACAAGGACGTAAGTACATCAGGTTGACCAGTTCAAAGCAGAATTAAATACTTGTTCTAGATTCAACCATTATCTACAATCCAACTTTATTAGAAATTGTACTTCGTTATTTTTGTTGACACCTAGGGATGACTATGAACCTATCCCATCCAAACAGTTCACCAGTAATGTTTTTGATAGGTTTGTTTACTGGAATACCAGTAATATGTAATGAATAATGATTCTATATGTTTTTCTTAATTTTATCAGGTCAAATCAATCATCAGGATTGTTATAATTCGTTATGATAGCTGTCTAATTATGACCAAGAATCTGATACGATCGCCTCATTTTTTCATAATATTCAGACTTTATTAGACGCCATACAAAATTAAACAAGTATGGGGATTCTTGGAGATTGTAGTATTGTAAAGGTTGAATTCACGAGTCGATTTAAGCTAGACCACCATTGGAAACCTGGAAACACTGGACGGCCGTCTCGTCCTAGTATGAGACTCCTCAGCAGTGCACATCCATAACCCCGCATGTGGAAATCGAACCCAGGACCGTTGTCGGGTGCGAACGTCTGATCTCTACTAAACCGTCATCCAACAATGTTAATGTCTAATTTCAATTTATCCATGATATTATTGATTGAGGTTAAGCGTTCACGCGCTAGACCGAGGGTCTTGTGTTCGTACCTATCATGTGGGATCGTAGGTGTGCACTGCTGAGAAGTCTCATGCTAGGACGAAACGGCCGTCCAGTGCTTTCACGTTTTCACTAGTGGTCTAGCTTAAGTCTACTCGTGAATTCATTTGTGAGAATATTACAATCTCCACAAATCCCCAAACTGATGATATTGGAAAAGTCTAGTAATTACGTGAACGAAGTCAACAAGTAGTCATAATATTAGTGCTTTTTCATAAATTTACAAAGAATTTCAAAAGTATATATCTTATTTCTGACCAATTTATTTAATCAAACTGGCTGAACTGTATCCAACACTTACGACTACTAATTTTTACGTCAAGTCTTATGCTTAACCATTTTTATGTCTTTTCATTCGACATTTTCAACTATAAATTACATTAACATATTCATAGGAGACAGTTATAGATAACTTCAACTACTCGAACTGAAAACTTCATTTCAATATACGTTACGCATATATAAAAATGTATAAAATATTACTGAATACAAAAATACACTTAACGTAATTTGGAAATACTAAGGTTAATCTCAATTAATAAACTAACTAATCGTTTCTAATTTTATTATCCATGCTTCAAAAAGTGTTCAAATATCTACAAGTTGATTGTGACTAATGTTAATAACGTTTGATTACTTATAGAACTTCCCTAGCAGACGCGTATATAGCCTCTGTCAGGGAAGTCCTACTCACTGTCTTCTCTTGGCGGGGGTGTTGTTTACGAAATTGAGAGGACGAAAGGCGAATGTTCGGTGCTTTAACCGGGTTGGTGGACATGGAGAGTCCACCTAGGGGAGTTGGAAAACCCTGATTCCAAACCAATAGTGCACATAAGCTCCAGTATCCTGAGGGTACAAATGGAGTATGAACCAATTGTTGGTCACCGGCTACCATGGGACTGTATCTCCTTACAATACCCCACTGCCTTGTGGATCAGACCTTTAGGTCGAAGGCTCCAGGTGTGGCCCCCTTAGAAAACCACCTGCTTCGGTTTGGGCACCCGGGCAGTATCACAGCCCTCACACATATCGAATGAGATCTGTGTGGCTCATATGTATTTGGTGCCTCCTTGTACCAATATCTATGTGTTAAAATAAATAAATAAATAATATATACTCATAATTAACTATTATCATTATTTCTTTTTGTTCAATTATTCAAACAGGCTATGAATTTTGTAATTTGTTTATTACAAGTGATCTATTCTTATATACCATATATATGGATAATGTTCATTGTGATATTTTATGAAGGATGCCTGGGTGGTTTAACTTATGTTAACACATTTTATAATATTCTTCAAGAAGTAAGTTAATAGGCAATAATGACAAAAATACTTTCTTTGGTATTGTATTCTTATATAAAGAAATCTTCTACTTAATGTAATAAATAAACTCTGACGATGTTAAAGATCGTCTAAAGCAAATAGCTAAACCAAAGTTTCTTACTAGTTGGTACTGTTCAGCAACCTATGCCTGTAATCTTTAGGGAATTAGTGGTCATTGTGAGATTTAAACTTGGTTCATTCAGCTTCATAGTCTGAGATGTCATCGTTGAAGTGTTCTTGTCAATTAGGCCGAAACATAGAACTAGTGAATCTTTCCTGTCGTCCAGATCGGAGTAAGCCAAACAAGTTTCGAATTTGATGCTTAGCGGCCCAAAAAAAGAATACCCTTATATATTATTGGTTTTTCTCTTATTTTTTAAGACTGATTCAATCAGTTGACCAATGATTTTTATTGTGTTTATATTCATCAAGTATTAACGCCTTATACAACTGATATGTACACCAAGTACAGCTTGGTGTATTTAACGTTCAGCTAGACAATTTATGTGAGAACAAAGGTGGGGAAATCCAATTTATTATATGCGAAATTACAGAGTGCCTTTGAAAAAGATGATAACCATGCATCAAATACATAATCTGCACATCTTGCTTCAGTTGTCCTTTACATGCTTCATCATTCTTTCAATTCTGTTGTTATTACAGTTGCTCTATGTTTGCATTCTTTTTCTTTCTAATTCAATCTTCTGCTGCCGGACATTTCACTTCTGATTGGTGTTACATACTACTTATATCTGTCAACATCAGTAGCATACGCCACAGTACTATGATAGCTGCCTAAATCGAAGTTAGTGTAGCGGAGTTGGAATCTAAGGTTTAGTAGTCGGGAACCAAATGTTTTAACCACTATATCACTGTTCCATTATTACTTATTTATTATTAGGATGACATAAATGAAGTACACTACCATTTCAATGCATACGACTGAATTTGAAGTAGAATTTCTACTAATCTGTCTATTCTCTCAATGTTTGACCGTTGGAGTTAGTTGGCAGGAAATAACTGATTGACTTATGTTTTATGCCAATTGATACTTGTTGGCTAAACGTTTCTGGAGTCTTCAGGAAGCTAATGTTCCCTGATGACTAAAAACCTTGGTCACCAAGGTTCATTCTGAAATACAACAACTAAGTTATTTCATCCACGGCTGACTTATAGTACTAAGATATTTATAATTAATTGATCACTGATTAGTGATAACTAATTTCATGTTTGTGTAGAACTTAGTAATAGACATTCCTCCTAGTTCAACATGTAAACATTGCAAAATGTTTCTATTGAACTTATATATATATATATATATATATATAGAGAGAGAGAGAGAGAGAGAGAGAAAGAGGTTTTACCAACTCTCATATCTTACACATATCTGTATACATATATTTTTAACTTTATAGACTTCTCCGATCTACCGTGAATCTGCAATGGCAATGGCAACTGTATCTGATTCAATTGGCGTAGCTGGAGCTGGATTCCTATCCATATATTTACATAATTGTTTATGTAATATATTAATTTGATGATTGTATTTTATTAAAAATCATTTTCAACTAACAATCTTTACTTGTTTAATTTGTTTTTTGTAACCGTAATATTATTGTTTTACATAGGATTAGAATGTTTTTAACATAACCATAATATTAATAGTAATTATTATTAATAATGTATTTCTTGATTACGTAATATGACAGTTACATTTTACCTAACCATCATCTATTGCATTATTACTCCCAATATAGTTGTTTATATCTCCTGACTAGTAAATTATAAATGAATGGATAGGTATGTCGTTTGGACGATCATCTGAAAACAAAGATTAATTACACAATCAAAATTGTATTCCTTTTTTTATAAGAAAAAACATTTATGTACAAAACAAATATGATGATTAGCAATGATATCTTTATGTATAGTCGTGAAATGCGCAGTAATATCACATGTTTAAAATGGAAAGGATTTTTATAGTTGAAATCACTGATTAATTTTAAATAACCATTGAAAATTAGGAAGAACTAGATTGCTATTTCGTCCCCGACACAGAATTGAGACGAAGATTTTCAGGTCACACAGTGAGTAGTGCAATTATTTCCCAATGCCATTAGAGAGTAATTATCTCATATTCAACGAAATACCAGCTATTCAGCGTTTCCTCATTTTTAATCGTTTAATGATAGGTTCATGTTATGAACTCTAAAATCCAATCATCTTTACTAGTATAAAGAATTGTTTGTTTTAAATTATTTTATCTAGGGTCTTTTTTGAGGACTACAACTATCCATACATAACTTTTCCCCGTGAAAATCAGAATAGTAATCTATGATTTCTTTGACTAATACCATTACTTGTGCTCTTTACGTATTGATTTATTCAGTCTTAACATATGTACTGTAGTAATGTTAAGACAGAAGGTAACATGACATTGGTAACTTATGTAGTTCACTTAACTATTAGCATATCTTAGGACATGGACATTTAAAAGGAAGTGAAATGTTTATTAATTAAATGATTGGTTGTTAAGTTTTATGGTAAATATATCGACTAACAGTCACTATAATATTTGATAGCCCATTATTAAGTTGACATAGCGATTAATTCAGGTATTAATCCTCTTATTTATGGCATCCAAGTTTTACATAGGTCATTGAGTTTTGAAAGAAGTATAAAAGTATGTTATTATATCACAGCTACTCCTTTCATTTCACGAAACCACATTCATCGCAAAAGAAAAATTATTCGCCATGTGCTTGGAAGCTTGGTTGTTTGGATTCTACTCAACACCATTTGTTCTGTTGTCTCTGAAGTTTTGCGCGTCTATCAGAGTTGTATGGGAAAATTAGATTTAAAATTTGAAGAATCCCATCTAAGTTGTGTACATTTCCAAATTTTGTGATTTAAAAAATTATATGCAACAATGTACCTTACTACTATCAATATACCGTATAAGTGTAACGTAAATAACACTGATAGAACAATAATAACAAAATATCTTTTTACAAAAATAGCATTTATTATAAGATAACATGATATTGAGTACTCTTCAACGACTGAGTGATGTAAGTATTTCAGTCCTACACTAAGTCTGCTGTTGCTTGTATAAAACAGTAGTAATGTCTGTAAAATTGGTCTATGTTAGTCGGTATCCTATTAAGATGGAGAAAACAGTTTAAGATTACAACGATGTTTTTTGTGTTGAATATCAACTAACATGTGAATTACATCGAGAAATCCTTACCGATTATGTTATTAAATAAAATTGAAATTTAGCAGAGCTTTGTTGCGTTATTTAGTCTAATAGTTGCATTGGGACTTTCTCACGTTCTGCTACTTATTATTTTTAATAGTAGTTGACCATGAGCTATATTAGATTACTTACGCCTGTTATCCTTCTTGGAGGAACATGGACCGACCACCAGCATTCTCCATCCAAGTCTGTCATGGACAATCCTTTGCAGTTGCTATTCACCCTTCACATATCTGCTTCCCATTCCCGATGCAGTATATTATTTGGTTTTCCTCATTTCCGTTTGCTTTCTCGATTCCAAGTAATCGATTGTATCGTGTTGCAGTTTAGTGATATATATCCTATCCATTTACATCGTCTTTTCCTAATTTCTTCCTCAGCTGGGAGTGGGTTTGTTCTCTCTCATAGTTGGCTGTTGCTGATTTTATCCGATCAATGGACATTGAGTTTCTTGTACAGACGTTAAATTAATCAGTTTATGACTGATCCAATTCAGAATTAGGTTTTATAAATTGATTAATAAATCACTATATTATGTATAGTTCGTCGTTCAGAGTCGTCTACAAATTCAAAACAACTGATTCAAAGTAGATTTTATTCAAACATTTGTGTACTGTTAAGATTGTAGCAACTTGCAGGTTCAAATCTGATTACTGTATACAAAAGAGTCATGTTCAGCACATAATTCTCACATGATCTTATTACCCCTTCTACTTTTGTCTTATTATATTCACCTCGTTTGTTCTGTAAATTTGTCGAGTTGTCTTTATGGATTTCTTATAGGAATTATTATTTCTTATTACTAATATATAATTTATAATTGAGGCTTGAAGGCTTTTGATAATTATCGAAATGATCCATTCATTATCCTTTTTTAATCAATACCTGAAATCTTTTGATATTTTTTTTTCAACACTTCATTAAATTATACCACATCATTTCGACCATCTTTTATAATTCTGGTTTTACTTTTCTCTATATGGAGTTGTTTGTTAACAATCTAATCGTTCGTCAAGTCATATACTCAATACGTTGAATAATTGATTAGTATCGTTATTCTTCATTTAATTAGTGTACATCAAAACTAAATACTTTAATGTATACTTGATTAGTTACTTATAAGTGAAGTACATTAAAAAAGATATTTGTGTTGGTTGAATGTTCTGAAGAAAAAAACAATTTTGATTATTTAATTTAGAACATGCTTTATAAACAGACTAATAGCAACTTATGTGCAATTGAGTTTGTTCACAATTAATTTGATTAAGCTTGTTTGTTAACTCCTACTCATTGAGTTCTCGTGGCATTTCTGTTGTTTACGAAATTGAGAGGAAGAAAATCGAACGTCCAGCGCTTTAACCGTGTTGGTGGACATGGAGAATTCACCTAGGGGAGTTGGAAAACCCTGATTCCAAACCAATGGTGTACATGGGCTCCAGTATCCTGAGGGAACAAATGGCGTATGAACCAATTGTTGGTCACCGGCTACCATGGGACTGTATCTCCTTACAATGCCCCACTGCCTTGTGGATCAGACCTATAGGTCGAAGGCTCCGGGTGTGGCCTTATAAGCAAACCACCTGCTTCGGTTTGGGCACCCGGGCAGTATCACAGCCCTCACACATATCGAATGAGATCTGTGTGGCTCATATGTATTTGGTGCCTCCTTGTACCAATATTTATGTGTCAAAATAAATAAATATTTAACGAACTGAGTCATCCGCGTGATTATCGTAACCAATTGTTGGAGACTCTTGGTGACATGGCTTAGAATCGAACACAATGGCGTAAGTGTATACACTCTCTGTCTTCCATTAAACTATGAGATTAAAATTGCTTCATATTTTTCTACATACTAATTCTATCTTCCTGTACTATATCCTTATATTCAATCTTTCTTTTATATATTATCACCATTGAATTAACCACTTCTATGAATCCGGTGTTCATCTTGCTGTGCTAATGCGGTATGGCAACTTGGACTGATGCATATAAGTGCCTGGTTCTACGTTGTAGCTGACTGACTGACCTTTATTATTGTTGCGAATGTATGATTATGTATGCTTGAGAATTGCTTACTACCTACTCATATATTCATTCTGCTAGCTTTACTATTAGCTGTTTAATTGATACGATGATTTATTTATTTCACTATGTGTATATATGGATGTACACTTTAATCCTGTTCACTCGACTCGCTGACTCACTCGTTTGCCTCTCCACTTTGTGTCCTGAGCTATCTGCTAATAAAACTGTAGTTTCTTCTTCTCTTTGCCTTCTGATTTAAAACACCGTTGAGGTTTATATAATAACGGTTACGAAGGTGATTGGTTAACGAAGCACAGCCACTACAAGACAACATTGTTTTTTTTCTTCTACAAAATAATTAGATCGTTTTGATGTTTAAGTCTCATATACAGTTTTTAAAAAATATCCAGATATATGTAAAACATCAAACCGTTTAGCGTAATTTCTAAATTGGCATAAAATAATGACAAATTTTACATAACAGTTATAATCATTAAGCATTCTAAGTAGTTAAGGTCTTGACAAATTAGTTATTGAAGATTATGTAGTAAAGAAAGAAATAGTTTTGTACACGTGGGAAGATATATTATAAGGAATTTCTTTATCAATACAGTAATGAAGTTTATTTCAGTAGCTGGTGAAGATGGATAATCTTCATTATTGATTGAAATCTCAAAGAATTGTTCATCGTTGATTCAATAGCATCTAAGTTGATCTTAGTTCGTGTCGTTAAATATTTGCTCGAATTTGAGGTTGATCCACTTTCATCTAGACCAAATGAAATATCATACTCTAATCATATATATGTAAACTGATTACGAGGTAGTATTAGTTTAGTGAACAAGAACACCAGTGGGGATAACCGGATGTATTTGACACAAAATTACAGAACTTGTCAATAAAAACTAACAATTATTAAGTAAATGCTTAATTTGCAAAATGTTCATCAATTGTTTCAAAATGATCCAGACTTCATTGTTTTTGCATTTTCATACCAACTGCGTTTCATTCCCGTTCTCTCCTCATCGACGTTCTTCTGAAATATATTCTGTGCCTGACCACCGTCATATACTACTTATGTGGATATAAGCAACCTACACCACAGTTATTGTATTTAATGGTGATGGAAATTTATCAATGATCTTGCAATATGACTACTACTGACAATCAATTGACATTGGATGAACGATATCTTGATGTTAGGTTGATAAAAGTAGCCTGTCGAACACCCTGATGGAGTTAAGTTTCGCG